CAATCTTAAAGGACAACGGCGCAAAATGAACCTTTGGTCTAATAACACATTGGTACCTAGTCGACCGTTCTCTGAGATTTGTTTTCATGATAATCGAATGTATAGAGTTTTATCTCTAAAAACTGTTTAGTGTATAACGCTAGTATATAGGGCATAGAGTAATAAAAAATAAAAATCGCTATTTAATACCACTAACAAGGCTCAATCTAGCCCCACACGGTCCCTACATGCAAAACAAAGCATTGAGAACTTTGTAAGTGTACAGTCAGTTTAATAAGACGATATTTTTATTTTATTTTTAGCGATTTTTATTTTTCATTACTCTATGCCCTATATACTAGCGTTATACGCTAAACAGTTTTTAGAGATAAAACTCTTTACATTCGATTATCATGAAAACGAGAACGGTCGGCTAGGTACCGATGTGTTATTAGACCAAAGGTGAATTTTGCGCCGTTGTCCTTTTTATCAAGCGACGAGAATACATTTTGTGTGCAAAAAACGAACAAAAATAACAACTTCATTCAACTATTCATTTCTTTCTCTGTAGGCCGTGGGATTTCACGAAGTGAAAATGCACAAAGCTTCTGTGTTTCCGTCACATGTAGGCTCACGATTGGCCGATGCTGGTCATGTGTGTGACGTACAACCTAAAAGCTATGCACAGTTTCACTATGTGAAATCTCGAGGCCCACAAAGAAGAACATGAATAGTTGAATTAAGTACTTATTTTTGTTTTAGTTTTTTTTGCGGACAAAATGTATTCTCGTGGCTTGATAAACTTAAGATTGAGCCACTGTAGGCACTCTGACTATTTTAACGATGTATTTAATAACTTTTGGGCCGGCCAGTTTTGATCTCTTAAGAAGCCTATGAAGGAGTGATCCAGCTCTCAGATTTAATAAAAAATGTCTTAATTTGTGTTCCAAAGATGAACAAAAGTCTTAAGGTGTTGGTACAACATGAGGGTGAGTAATTACTGACAGAATTATTTTTTTTTTTGGGGGGGGGGGGGGGGGGGGGCTGGGACATTGACGTCTTTTCACAATCCCTTCCTCGATCAACAGTCCTCTTATTCACTGCAGAATTATTCCTTTTTTTAACTGTGTGAGAATCCTGCAAAAGATTTGAGATCCCATCTGTCCTCAGCTGACTGTGTTGCATCTCTTTTAAAGTTGGATGTAAAGTATTTACTAGTGTTCCCTAGTGTCCATCTTTGAGACTTGTTGTTTCTTTTAGTTATTTCACTGAGCCTATTTTCAGACCTTTTTGTTTAAAAAGAACAGACACGACTTGGAGGAAAAAGAGAGAGATGGAGAGAGAAACAGAGGTGTCAGGATTAGCCGTATCTAAGCTAACGCCCACACACGCTGCTCTTCAGATGTGGCTAATCTCTCCCTGACTGGGTTTGCAATCACTCTTGAAAGTGTGGGAGTTTAACACTCTTTTAGCCCTAAAACCCTGTAAAAAAAAATGAACCTGTAGTTGACATCTGACATGAGGCAAAGTCCACTCTCTGTTTTTTGTTCCATACATTTTTTTTGTACTACTTCCTGTTTCTAGCATATTAATAATGACCTCCTTTTCAAACCGTTAGTCATCAGGTTCTTTATAAACACTACAGGTGCAATCACATTTATATGTGCTAAGTGGTCTCTAAGATTCAGCACATCTACATATCATAATGTTGAGTTTGTTTAGATTTTAACATGAATGAAAATGTGGATATCCAAACATGTGAGTATTTTACTTTGTCCAAATTATTCCATTTCATCTCATATTTCCTAAGGTTTCTGTACTGTCAATTATTTTGTAATATATCTATATACATATATTTTCATTATAGGCACTGCAAAATGCCCCCTCATGGAAACTCTGTGGATGTTAGATGTGTTGGAACGGATATTAAGGTGTTGGAAAGTATTGCCCTTCCCCTTCTAATCAACCTACAGCGACTCATTAAAAAAATAGCATTATTTTAGAGATCCAATTGCCTTTTTCACTGCTGATTGACCTGTCTTGTTTAAATAGGCTGAGCTGTTATAAAAGCATTTATTTTGCTGTATTTTTATGTATCTTTCTCTCACCACCTCTCTCCTTCCCTTGTTTCCCATTCTCTCTATCAGTGTCAGACGATGCCAGGTTGAAGGACAAGTGTTTTCAGGCTGATGAGGAGAGAACATCCATAAATATCAGAGTCGAGTGACCTGTTCTGCTTCGTTCCTGCTATAATGGAGGGATGAGTCATAGCTAAGCTGTCCATCTCTCATGTTTATCTCTCATTTGAGTGGCACATCACCACATTCATGGAAGTATCATGCTTCAGAAAGAATCTAATTTGTATTAAAGATTGTGCTGAGACAATTAAATTGCAACCACCTACTTGTGGCAGTGCATTTTGAACAGGCAACCACACACTTTCTCTTTAGAAAAAGTTACAATCTACTTTTAGGTGTTGTGTCAGTGGCATAGGGCTTTTAACCAGAAGGTTGCTGGTTAAATCTCTGCAAGTAGCCAACCATGAGCTACCATCGTTGTATGCTAGAGTAATGCCTGTCCTATTGAGTAAGTAAATCCCTCACTTTTTATCTTCAATCATGTGGAATGTCAAATAAATATAAGCATTGTGTTTCAGACAATCTGGATTCAAGCATGTGCTGAGGCAAATTCAGTCTACAAGGGATTCAAACCGCACAGTAAGTATACGTAAGTTCCTAAAAAGCAACACAAATCCAACTCAATGTCAATTTTTGATACAACTTGTAGACTCAAATCGCGTTTTTTGTGATCAGTTGCAGACACCACAGTTGAAATGTCATTAATTTATTTATATTTATTTTGCAGCCCTATGTCCAAGTGAAAACCACAAGACCACAAGTCAACATTAAGTACCTCTGACACTCCTAATTGTGATGTCTTTCCTTTAGACAGATGCACCGACACTCTCCACATTGCATTGGGACAACAGTTTTGCCACCTTGATAGCACATGTCTTGAGTATGTCCAGCTTAGCAATGAGCAGTTTAAAGTTCCCATTGGCACAGATACAGACAAACAAACCTCAGACAAACAAAAGACTCAAAACGTGCTTCGCCTATCAACTGTGGTCCAGAGTGCTGCCAGATTTCTCTCAATTCACCACTTCAAATCTGGCTATAGTCCATCTACTGTTATAGACCTTTCCAAAAAAGGCATCTGACCTATTTCTCCTTATCGCAGAGGTAATATAGAGACAAATAAGGGTTAATTAGCCTGCAAGACTGTGAGCCAAGAATGTGTTACTGTCTTAAATGTGCAACAAATAATGAAACAGAGAGGAATGTACACTGTGCTGCACTGTTGTGTACAAGAAGTGGATTTAAACTGGCCTATAATTCCTAATGAAAGTTAATCGTTCGGGGCTGGTTTGAGCTAGTGTATTGGCACATTTTACGTTGAAGAGTGGAAAGCAATCTTCAGCAAATTATATGTCAGACTGCAGCATAATGAGAGTTGACATCTCTTGTTCAGTCAACTCAACAAGTGTGCTGAAATACTGTACTCTCAGAAGTTTACAGGCTGGGGCCATGGCCGAATAAAATCGATCAGAACACCTTTGATTTGATTTTATATAGTTAAAATTGTATAAGTAGGAACAATAGAGTAGTGAGTTGGCATGTGCACCTTTTCCCCTCTTAACTGAGCCAACAATATAATTGAGATTGCTGATTGTGGCTCCAAAGTGGGTTATATGGTATATCCAACAGCAAAAGACCCTCAGAATTGCCAGGGAAAGGTTTTATAGCCGTTTCAAAATTGCTGACGATTTCTACCCAGAAGCTACAGGCTGAGTCAGACTAGTGATGGGCAGCAAGACTTTTTCTTGGTTACAGGATTGAAGAATATTAAAGACTGTGAGACCGCAAGGGGAGACAAGGCATGTGTCAGTTTTTCCATCCTTTAGATGTGTTGATTGGGATATTGATTTGCTATGATTCAATGCTTTTGGCGTCTTGCAAATGATAAGCAGTTATCACCCTCAATATCATCATCATTTTCAATATTACGACCTGCACAAACATTTACTTATTTGCATACATTTTTTTTGTCAGGACATGCAGCTAATTTTGAATGACCATTTATTGAAAATATTTTGTTGTTCTCATTTTGATGTAGGTACAATGTCTAACAACGAGTTTGGGTACCTGGACCATGCTAACCAGTCTTGAACCCTTGACTACCCCATTCATTGGGATAAGACAATTATGACAGCATTTATCTATAGAAGGTATGGTAGCAAAAACTGACTAAATCCTAGAGTTAGAGGAATTGAATTACAACTGTTTTTGGTGCAAGAACCTTGACTAAGATTAAAAGTATTCTTCAGGGGGAAATTGTCATAAAAGAGTACAAATAAGTATACATTGCTCTGTAACAAACGTGTATGCACGTATGTATCTGTGTCTTCGAATAATGCTGTGATAAGTAAATGTGTGGGTTTGTTGTGGCAGTGTTTGGGTCGGTATATGAGTATGCATTTATAATCACTTGGGAGAACAGTTTCTAGTAAAAGCTGCCTCGATAAAAGATCATGCTGCCAAATTCATGCCTTCTCCCTGAAGTGCAAGAATTGCGTGTACAGAGCTGCCACTTGTGGTCTAATTGGACAGCCTTTCATCCTAAGCCTCCAGGCTTTACTCATCCCTCACTCTTTCTTTACCCTCTCTGTCTCCTTGATTCCTTCCTGTCTGCCCTTTGCTCTTCTTTCAGTCCTCTCCTGTATCCAATTTCTTATCTCTCGATCTCTCTCCTGTCTGTCCCTCTCTGTGTCCCGATTGCTCTTTCTCCCTCCCTCTATCTCGCTCTCATCTGTTGGTATGGCTCAGGCTGCATCATCCAAAAGGACACGTGTTCTCTGTTTATTATAGAGCCAAAAAAGGGAGGGGGAGTGTGAGCGAACGAACGAGGGAGGGTGGAACAGAGGTAGAGAGATTCACACAGAATAGCCCTCATAGGGTAGACGCCATCGCTCTGAAACGCACCCACAAGCAAACAAAAAGAGAGGCTAAACACATCAAAATCTTTTTAGACGACAACAGGAACACAGTCCCCAAGCAAAGGTAAGAAAGATCTCCTTAGTAATTGCGGTGATTGTTGTAAAAAGGTGCAAAATAGAAATATCATTCAAGAGAACTCTAGGACATCTGTTAGGTTAAGTTGACTACTTGGTTGTTTTGAAGACGTGGCAAATGGTCAAAAAGTGCCTCAACAATGGGCCTTGAGGGACTCCACCTCAGAAGAAACATTAGAGTCCCTGCTGAGAGTATTCCAGCGCTTGTGTCATAAGCTACGCTTCATAGTACCAGCCTCTGCATTGGCGTCAATGGGTTGTCTGCAGGTTAAATTTATTAACCCCACAAAATAACTGCGTCAGACAAGGACGCTTTGCCAAAAACAGCAAGCCAGTGGCGGTCCATCCAGACCACCCCTTAAATTCTGGGTAAGTCTATTAACAGGTGTCCTTTTTTCTTCATTGGAGTAATGCTATCTGCTATGGTGCTGTATCTGGGTCTGTGTAATAACTGATAAGCACAGCTTTTGTTTTCTTAATCTCAATAACACTTCACAAAATATCTGACGCCAGTGTACCTGGTTGGGTTCCAGCTTGCACTGGGAGGCCAGGAGGGCTGTGGAACTTTCCAGGGTGGATAACTGGGACTTATCACAAGCTTTGACACTTTCAGCTTTAAAGTGGTGATGGGTGATGTTGTTAGCCCGTGCCTAAAGATGAAATCTTTTATGTTGGGTTTAAAATAAAACAGTTGTAGTTTAAATACAGCAAATGGCGACTACCACACCTGTGGTTGACAAAACAGCATGAAGCTGAAATACATATTATCTATGTAACTCAAAGGTTGGTGGAAATTCAAGCAGGTAGTTTAATTACTGTGTGTAATCATTAAAGCTGCAAAGATGAATAACAATGTGTGGCATGCTTTTTTTCTAAACAAGCGATTAAAGTAAATATTTTAAGTAATATTTAGCCTTGTAAAAACAAAGATGGCATTACTGACGCAACTTGATGCAAGGCCGATCCTTTTTTTGGTTGTTGCTACGGATCCCTGCAAGACAACAATGAGATGCCCCCATTTCTACATTACATAATAATGCAACAGACGCCTTGGAAACTTTTCTGTCTCACACACATCCTGAAAGCCTTCCCTGTTAGAACTGTTGGACTGTTCTCCACAGAGCATGGAAAAATATTTTTTAATAAACTGCATGTTAGCTTTACTCTAATAGAAGCTCCTGGCTTGAGATTTGTATAAAGAATGTCATTTACAAAGGATTTTTTTAAAAATGCCTGGAACTTTTCAATAAAACATATCTTGGAAAGAGGCATGCCCTGGGACAAGTTTACATTTTAGCATACAGGACTCGGAGGGGGCTTCCTGAATACGAAGATTTTTCTGAATACCAAATATTGTGTATAGCTGAATTACAAATGGATCTTGTTTTGTACTGATAGATGGGACCCGGATTGTTCTGGAACTTTCCATCCAAGACTAGCTGCACGGTTCCACAGAGCCTGCTGCAGACAATGTACGTAGTTCCGCCTGTAACTGAAGTTGTAGCCTTTTACTTTTTTTTTTTTTAGCATCCATGCCTTCATTTTTTTTTGTTTGTCACTTTGCTTGTGAATTCCATGGCTCGTTGATGTGTCTGACCACTTTGATTTGTTGACCAATCACTGGGCAATGGCCAAACAAGGCCAAGTGTCAATCATTACTCAGCACTAGATCATTACTCATAATTCATTGGCCAATAGCTGTTGATTGTTCCAGCCTTGAGTTTGTGACCAATGCATTGATGTAGATTTATGTTTCCAAGCTGATTTAATGTCAAAAGATTCATTTTATCATTTAGGATTCATTAGCTATATACAGTAGGAATCTGAATTATGAGGTCTTGAATATCTTATAATCGGTTCTTGCTTGAGTTATGTTATTTGATAATAAAAAAGTAATGTCCATCCATATATGTTACATTCGGAGATGTATTGGCCTTGATGTCCATTGTTTTGTTTTGGTGGCTTTGGTACTTTGGATGTTTTTCTGTTCAAAAGGGTTCTGCAAAACTTCTGCATTCCTTGACCTCCAGTGCCCCCAAGCTTAGAACAAACTGAGCCACATGATACCAATTTTGCTTTTATGAACTACAATAAATGAAAGAAATCTCCATAAATTTGACTGCACATGATTGGAGAAAGCCATTATGGGTTTGATTGTATTATATTCTGACCTAAATAGGTGTGCATCTGTGATAAAAGCTCAGGCCAAAGCGAAAAATCGCTTCATGAAAGCTTTTAGATGCAGGCTATTTATCAAAATGGAACCATTAATCTTTAATGGAAAATGCACCTAATATTCCTGGATTGGTTTCCTACTAATCCATACAGTAGATACCTGTTTTAAGGAAAGGTTCAGCCAGCTTACTGTACTTTTGGCCAAGGTAAATCAGCCTTATTGAGGACCACATACCAACTCACCATCTGTCAGACTGGCTTAGAGCACTGGGCAGCTCCTGACAAGTGGCAGTGTGAGGGGTTGGAAACATGGTTAATTCTGGTGGTACAACACTATCAGGGCAGATACTGTAGCTGTTATTGACCCTTCGGATGTTACCCAGAATCCCTCTCGAGGTGTGAAGTGATGGATCAAGATTTTGTGAGTTCCACAGCTGCTTTTTATCTCAAGTTTAATACAAAACCATATTCTGTTATTGTCTATTGTTTCCCAATTTGGGTAGTACGCCTCATAGTGGGGGCTCAGGGTTATAAAGAGGGGGGTGTGGCGAGGCCAAGGGATAGTGTACAGTTAACAGATTGTTGTGCAGAGAAACCTTTTTAGGGTGATATAAGACCCCATTGTGAAATTATCCCACTTAAGTGGCTACTTGCCACATAAGTAATTATATGAACATAAAATATTAATTTGACATTTTATTACCCCAAAATGACACAAGATTATAAGTTGTAGCGGTTGCTGTCATGGATTAACAGACTGCTTGATGGCATGGTTAAAGAATCAGAATTTAGTAAAAAAAATATATATATAAAAGAACGATGCATGGTTCTGCACTAAGCATAGACAAGAGTGAAGGTTTTGTCAGTGCCAAATGTAAAGCAGGCACTTGTAATGTGCCAACTACCAAAACAATGTGTTTACACCAGACGCGAGCAGCCTGATGTGACAACAGAAAATAGAAAATCAGTGATGCTGTACACTGGATGCAGTACGACACAACAAATTCCCGACAATAAAACTGATGCCAGTTCTATTTCCGACATATTCCATCAACTGCACAACTTCTGACACAAAGGACAAAAATGTTTGTCCATTGTAAACAGCTTTAAGAAAAGAAAATATGATGAGGCATATCTCACTTACAGATTCACAAGGGTGGGTAATAAAGAGACCACATTGTGTTGTGTCTAAAATATTAGCTTCTGACATTATTAAGCTGAAAGATGAAGTTGTAGTACTGTATTAATTAAAATTTTTCTTTATGTCCTTAACTCAATTGGCCTGCAATTACATCATTCTCTAGTTGGCACAGTTGATTGGTATCAATACCAATACCTGCTGTTTGGGAATCACTGGACTAGGGTGTGCATCAGTATATGTAACGTTCCTGGAACAGTCAATTAAGTGTTAGGGTTAAGTGAGCTTGTTTTATTCCCATTTGAGTATTTTCATCTTCCATCAACCTCTACATTTGAATTTGTAAGAATATTAGACTTGAATGAAATTGAAATATATACATATTAGAAGAACAAGAAGATAAAACTTAGCAATGAGGCCAAGTTAGTTTTAAGTGGGTGTAAACGGAGGATAGTTTCCAGTATTTGCCTTTATGTTTTAATTTTTCCAGACAGTAACAAGTGCTTTATAAAAACAGCTATAGCTCAGGTTTTCTGCTGATTTCTCCCATATTTCCACATTGACATAAATTTTACATCTATTTTTTATTTCCTGGTTGATGCTGCCAGTATGTGGGTGGTACTTAGCACTCTTTACACCTTGCTTAAGCAGCCATGTTCTGTTTGCCTTAATAATGTTAGCATCCAAATGACTAATTAAAACTTTGATCACTTGTATAACCTAATAGCGATGCCAATGAGACTGTATTGCTCAAATTCTTGGCAGCTTTGTGCCAAAATGTTTTGCCTGTTTTGTGTTCAGAGAATGACTTGATGAAGAGAAATCCATCTGACAGATTCAGTTGTAACAGATTTTGTTTGTGCACAGCATAAACACACATTGTCTTGTTCTAACCCAGTTTCCAGGTATTGATGGGATTCTGTATATCAGGTCAGACCCTTGCCTTTAAACAAATGTATTGATTTGGTGTCTGACATATTCTCTTCCAATGGTCATTCTGTTGTCATATTCCCTCATGCACTTTTTATTGTCACCGGGCCAGGTCAAATGCCAGCCCTGGCTGATGTTGTCTGCTCAATCTCATTCAATATGTGCCACTCTATCTAGATCAATGGCCAACATTCTCTAAACTTGTCAGAGAGTGCCCACCTATTTTCTCCAAATTCTATTTTTTTTCTTTAACTTCAGTTAGGACTAGTAGTGAAGCTGTTGAAAAGGATAAAGGAAAGTAAAGGTTATCCAACTCCGAGAAAATTGTCTACTGGCATTACTATGGCATTACTACTGTAATTTTTATTACAAGATAACACTAATGTTGTTGATTAAGAACTTTTAAAAGAAAATGTTATATTTAACCCATAGAAAATGTGACTTAAATATTATAGACCTAAATGATATATCTCCATAGAGTATATACATACAATTTAATACAATACAATTTTAGCCAGTTATTAGCTGTGCATGCAAGGTTGCTATTACTATTGATCCTACTTAAAGGAGAATTCCGCCGCAAAATGAACCTTTGGTCAATTACACATTGGTATCTCTAAAAACTGTTTAGCGTATACGCTAGTATATGGGGTCATTTAGTATGCAAAAAGAAATCGCTAGTTAATACCACTAACATGGCCCCACACTAACACAGAAACATAATGAGGGTCCCTAGATGCAAAATGAAGCATTGAGAACTTTGTAAGTGTACAGACTGTTTAATAAGAAGATACTTTATAAAGACAGTTCACTTTGTATATACAGACAGAAGCCATCTTTGGAAAACAGTCTCGACAATTCGAACCACGAATGACGTGCCAAGATAGCTGAACTGGATGAAGTTGAGTGAACTTCTGAACTGTATGAACGGCGTTCTCCAAAGACTGTTTTCCAAAGATGGCTCCTGTCGGTACACACAAAGTGCACTGTCTTAATAAAGTATCTTCTTATTAAACGGTCTGTACACTTACAAAGTTCTCAATGCTTCGTTTTGCATGTAGGGCCCCTTATTATGTTACTGTGTTAGTGTGGGGCTTTTTTGAGCCTTGTTTGTGGAATTAAGAAGCGATTTCTTTTTGCTTACTAAATGACCCCATATACTAGCGTAAATGCTAAACATTTTTTAGAGATAAAACTCTTTACATTCGATTATCATAAAAACAAATCTCATAGAACGGTTGACTAGGTACCAATGTGTTATTAGACCAAAGGTTCATTTTGTGCCGGATTTCTCCTTTAAGATTTTAGGTTTGTTTAAATCTCTAAACCTGAATATTAAAATTTGGCTTAGGTACCTCAAATTGTGCAGCTTGATTAGAAGAGGTGTATTATTACTTTTATAAGCAATTGCACTTAACATTTTCACCTGGCGGAGAAAATGTGAGAAAAAAAAAAAGAGTTGAATACGGGACCTAAGCCATATCTAGTGGGGGTGGGCTCTGTTGACTTCAGCTAGTGAACAACCACATGCCACATCCTAGAAAATACTTGGAATACCTAGCAACCACATTGCAATGGTGGTTGTGTGGAGCCACTGGCAAGCACCGCTCATGTTCACTTTAGAAAGAGTAAAAATGTAGCTCTATTATAGTATACCAAAACAGAGTGCTAATGATTATAATAATGATCTGAGAAAGGTCAGTACATGTGGGGGAGGAGGAGGGAAGATGAGATGGATCAACAGAGAGAATTGTGACAGAGAGGAAGGGAGGGAGGAAGAGAGGCCAATTGGGGGTATTGTGGTCATGTCTAGACCTCGTTATAATCAACTCATGGGAGGTGTTATGCAACCAAAATAATCATTCCCTGCAGGGCTTTGAATCATTCTATCCATTCACATCGAGGGTTTGATTTACACTGCCCATGATTACAGGACTATGACTTTTCTGTTGACGTGAAGGGTTCTGAAGTAAACTCAGTTATTGTTTGACTTTACTGAGAAAATTATATGCCAAAGTGCTCTGTCATCTCTTGGGTGAAGGTGGCAATAATCTGCACTTATATTTGGATTTTTTTTTTCTTTTCTTTATTTCTAATTCATGTTCTTGTTTATGAGGAAGCACTTAGATTAGGAGGTTAGAAGGTTAAATGTTACTATACAGTAGATGTTAATGACTGTTGCTTCGCCTACATGTTTATGCTATCAATATTTCCATTAAGGTTGTAAATGAAGCCATTCTTCATAATCGTTGTCAAAGTTTTTGTAGAATTATTAGAGATTAGTTAATTAGCACTAGGCTGCGGAGGTGTTAGCTTAGCATCATGTTATTGAAATATCAACTGACACTGATGGCTCCCAAGCCGGCAACCCTCAGCTACACAGCTGGAGTTTAATAAGTAGCCTACCTGATGGAAAGGTACATTGTCTCATCCATCAACAGATCCCTTCAGACAACCTGTGAGCTAGTGTCACAACTGGTGTTGTGCTCCTGGTGATTAAAAAGTTTGTACCCTTTTCGTGTCATCCTGAACCTAACCACCAAACAACATTCAAGCCATGTTCACAATGCCACCTCATTATAAGTCCACAAAACCCCATACTCACATGCAGTTTTCTATTGTTTGGAGCCAGATTGAAAATTCAGCCCTGCTGAAAATGCAGTTAAAACCAACTCCTGATGGTAGCTGGTTTTACATGTGGTGTGTCTCAATTCGCTCCCTAGTTCAGTACACTGCCCAAGTAGGCAGCCATTAGAATGCTGCAATGTACTAAAACATTCACTCCCATGAAATTTCCAGCAAGCATAAGCTGCTTGTGGAAAATGTTGTCCTCTTCAAATCATCTGAATAATTATGTTGCTGATACGATTTAATGCATGATGTCATAATCATATTGTATGTAATTGAGTCATTAGTATCCTAACACTTATTGGATCAAGGACCAAATGCTTATGTTTATGGATTCTTTCCATAGAGAACCAGGGAGTGGAAAGAGACACATGGTTACTAGCTGGTCCAAACAAGCTGGTTTAGGTGCGTCAGAGGTCCACCTATAGTAGCCACCAGCTTAACACAGCTTGATTGGTTGACAAGCTTTACCACCTTAAAGACCCACGGGAAATTGTTTAACAAGTGCAGTTGTACACAGGGCCTGAAATTAACTTTTTCGGCCACCGGCCACTGTGGCAGGTGGATTTAAAAATTCACCTGCCACAGAGACTTTTTACCAGCCACTTTTTTTTTTTTTTTTTTTTTTGCCTCATTTTTTGGTAAATTTTTGGTAAAAAGAACAATATTGTGAAATTTCTGTTTTTTTTTTTCCTTCACCTTTAAGGAAAGGTGAAAAAACGGGAATTTCACAATATTGTTCTTTCACTTGTAAGAATACACATTTAAGTTCTGTCAAGTAATAATAATAACTCTAAGAACATACATTTTAGAAAAAATCGTTTTATTCATTGATTTTGACACTCACACAATATAGCCTAGTATAGGCTATAGTATATACTCAACACATGCAGACCTACCGCAGCTCGTATGTAAACAAATCACACACGGCTGTGTTGATGGATGATTTAGTCACGTAGACAGATCCTGACAGCTTTTAGTTACAGCGTTCAGGAACCGTTAACTATGAACTAAATTAATATTGTTATTACTGGTAAAGTTACCGGGTACCGGATATTTTCTCACTGGTTCCATCCCAACTCCCAACACACATCTGTGCAACTCTCATTGTACTGTAGGCTACATCAGCGTTACATTATCTCATCCCATCTCACCAACAGTTTAATACTCGCACATCCAAACGTAGTCAGAAAAGGGCCTCGTCTTCTTCTGATCGCATGAACGTTACGAAACAACAGTTGCTGTCATAAATCAGCCGCTTACGAACCTTGCCATTGCCGCCAATTGTCCACTTTGTATTAAAATGTCTTTTTTTACTTTTCTTTTTCTCATCCTCATATTTTTGTTGGTTGTTTGTTTCAGCTGGCCTCTTTACCCCAGTAATGTGCCGCCACATTTTAGCTAAAGTCAAACGCAATGGCAGACTTAGTTGAAATTTAAAAATCCTTATGAATCACTCAATTCTCATTGGCTACCTGCCAATGTGGCAGGTAGATTGACAGTGTTACCCGCCAATAGAAAAATTCACCCGCATTTGGCAGGTGGTCGGGTGTTAATTTCAGGCCCTGGTTGTACATATTTCTTATTGAAACAGGAAATTTGGGCTGGGCATAATGGAGAGGGTAGGTCAACAGGCTTTAGTAACGTCGTAGTTGTAAACCTATGCACTTGTTAGTTGGCTACAGGTGGTTTAAAGTGGGAGAGGGAATTTGCAGGATGAATCATCAACATTTGTGGTCCATTTTGGTCTAGTTAAAGTTAGTTTATTTCAACTTTTAGAAGTGCACTAAAGTATAGATGACCTCAAAGCTAACAGACATGGTGTAAAAGCCACAAAACAACAGTTTGGATATCATCGGGTCTTTAAGCTGGTATGATCGGATTTATTTTTTTTCCACCAGCAGGGAAAGCCATGTATGAAAACCATCATACATGGTTTGAGCAATGGTAGTGTGGGTAATATTCCAATATTGGAGCAGCAAGACGAATTTGATTGGATTAGGGTTTGCTGTCGAATAGCCTTGTTAATCTCAGGTGTGTGTGTTGCCATGGTGATTGCAGGTTGCTCTCCAGGATGGCTGCCATGAAGGATCAGCAATTCACTGAGGAGAAACCGCTACTGCCAGAATCCAGGGGACAGGAAACAGAGATGGTGAGTATGTGAGAGTGTGTGCATAGCTAAATATAGTAGACCGGTTAAAAATATCCCCGTTTTTAGGCAAGAGTACAACATATTGGATGTGTGTGTTCACGATAAAGGATTTATCTACTGTATGCTCACCAAATACTGCATTTTATCTTAATCCACACATTAGTATTAAGCTAATGTGAAATGAAAAGCATGGCATGTCTTTAATGTCAGTAGAAAAAATTGGCTTTAAAATATCAGTTAAAAATTTGGGACACTGGCAACAAAGCTACTTTCTTGCTTTTCTTTAGAAGTGCTCTGTTATTAAGAGCACAATTAATAATAGATATTTAAGTGATACTAGTACACCTGAAATCAATATATTCATAGCAATTCCAAGAGGGCCCTTGCCCCCTAAACATCGTTGTGTTTGCAATCCATTGTAATTTTTTACCCCTTATCTAATTAAAGGGTTAGTTCACCCAAAAATAAAAATTCTGGCAGTAATTACGCGGTTCCAACCCCGTAAGACTTTCGTTCATCTTCGGAACACAATAGAGCTGGATCACTCCTTCATAAGCTTCTAAGTGATAGAAACTTGCCGGCCCAGAAAAGTTATTAAAGACATTGTTGAAATAGTCCAGGTGGCTCAATCTTAAGTTTATCAAGCAAAGAGAATACTTTTTGTGTGCAAAAAAAACAAACAAAAATAACAACTTTATTAAACTATTCATTTCCTTCTCTGTGGGCCTCGAGTGAGTTCACGAAGTGTTACTGCGTGGCGCTTCTGTGTTGTACATCCATTTTACACCATTTAGCCTATTTGGTTATTAGTGTCTTGGTTTATGTTCATTTATAAATATTGGTAAATAAAACTTTACAAAAATGAAAAGAATCTCAAGTGTAAACCCTAAAAAAAGATGATAATCACACTCTAAATGATAATCACACTCTAAAAATGATTGTTGGTTTAAATTTAAAAAGTAAGTAACCTAGTTGCCTCAAAATTGTATGTTTATTAAAATAAAAAAATTGAGTTAATACAATGAAGAAGATTGGATTAATCAACAGAAACTCAAAATATTATGTTATCTGAACGACAAAAATTATCCAAGTTGATCTGACAAAAGAAAAAATCTTTTTTTTTTTTACAGTGCAAAATTTATTCGTCAAAGCTTGTTGAATGGATTTTTATGTCTGCAGTTTACTTTCCCACATATCATTCATGCTTATAATTTCTTTTCTTCAGCTACTCAAATCCGGCACCAAAGCATTGTTCTCCGATACTATTGAGGGCACTGTCTGTTGTAGTGTGCTGTAACTAGTGTTTGTGTCTATGTGATGTGTCAGGCTAAAGGACAGTGTGTGCACGTGCCGCTGCCCTGTGCTACGCCCTCCCCCCACACGGCTCGCCCCCCAAAACGCTGGCATGCCATCGCCCGACACTGGCTCGGCCTGACGCGCCGTCGGACCAGCGGGTACTTCCCGGTAGGCTGATAACTGGACCATGTCCACCCCTCCAACTAAGGGATACTAATTTGTGTCAAGTCCTGCAATTATGATAGAAAAGACCAAACAAGGCCTGATATTTTCTCTCAGCCCAAAAACCCATTTGGTTTCACATGGTGTGATGAATATAACATAGAAATGTTCTTTTTGGCACCATGTTTCATACACACTGCTAAGCATTAGCGACATTTTAAGCAATAGTCAATAGATTAAATAAATGTCATTTTTTCACTTAAACGAATGGCTTTTCACATGATAATAGTATAAAAACGAGCAACAAGTAAGATTTGTGAATAACGCTTAGGCTTTGTTCAGACAAACAGCTGCAAAACATTTTTTTTTTTTTGACAAATCAGCAGTCAGAACTTCAGACCATCACATGAAATCTGGTTAATTTAACTGATTTTAACAGATTCATTCATGTTTTTGTTGGTCAAATTGGATTTTTTTAAAACATGACTAAAACATCATAGGCTATGTTAAGCTTGGAAGTGCCAATAGCTGTCTGAATCCACTCCTTTTTGTTAACAAATGGCATTCACTATAATGAAGTGATTAACAAGTGAATGATTGTGTACACAACATATACATAAATGAGTAAATAGTACAGTAATGGCTCTGAACATGTTGTCATAATAGCATGATATTGACTCTTAGCATTGTGCTAACACCTACCATCATTGCTATGTTAACGTATGCAGATATGCTGGAGATTGACAACAAACAAATAGATCACTTCCAAAATGCCATTACTCAGGGTGGTATTAGAAATGCAAATCAGATTTATGTGCAATGTGGACAAAGCTTTATAACCTGTAATGTTATGAGTTTCAATTCATCAAGAGGCAAAGTTGTTTACTTGTAAGGCTGCCCCCTTTTGCACTTCTGAGGTACTGCATTAGAGTTTTATCCTGAAAAGGAGTGACACCTGCTGGTCCGACATTAAAACAGCTTTTGCTTCAGCTTTTCTGCTGCCAACAGCTCTAACCGCATGCACTAACCTCTTTCTTTAGGTTTGTGGGTTTATTCCAGCTTTTGTCAGTCTGTACAAGAATAACATTATTAGTTCTACTTGCTTTTCCAAAATGAATGCTTTGTGTATATGTAGCTCATGCTAACTCATGTTTCCTTGCCTTTTCAGAAGAATAAGATGGATTTTTTTTGTCAGTCCTATAGTAGGAATACAATTGTTTGGCAAGAAGATGCTGTCCTGTTCTCAAGCTGTTCTTTTACACCATTTTCGGTGCTAATTTCACCTTTTTTTCATTGCACGTTGCGTTCTTATTTTCTTTACTAATTAATTCTGAGGTTGGACCAGCAAAACACTACCATTATACTTCCATGTATAATAGAGTTAAACAGGTCTCATTTCAGCAGTGAAGCAAGCTCAGCTTGCATGTTTTTATCTTTCCACAAATAGCTGCTGATCTGAAGCCAGCTTAGCCACCCACCCACATACTGTACTAACCAACATGTCTAGTGAAAAAACAACCAGTGGTGTAAAGTACTTGAGGAATTATACTTAGTATTATTTTGGGGCATCTTTACTCAATTTAAAACTTGCACTTTTTCTTATTTACATTACTAAGTAAGTAGTAAATTATATGTTACTCCTTAGAAATATATTTAGACCTTGAAAATATACATACTGGGTCAAGATGATTTAAATCTAGATTCTACTTTCCAATTGTACAAATCAATTTTGCTTTCACTACAAATGTTTTAAGCTTGATATTTTGGATTCTATACTTTAACTTAAGTACGTTTTACACAAGTTCATTTTTTTCACAGCAGACACAACAATTCATGTAACTGTTTCCATCACAAAAACCCTTTCCTCGGTGACGGGACCTTGCAGTGTGTTACTCCAAATGTATACTAATAGCATATTAAAACTGTACTCTGGCTTTGATGAACCTGACATTTTGTGTTCCTCCAGGAAAACTGCGATACCTTTGTGGCGACAGGAGGCTGGAAGGTACGGTGACTTTTCCCTGTGCATATTTGATGTTTACTTATGGTTTATATTTAAACTGCCTATCTTTTAAGAGTTTTGAGCCATTACATGTCAAAAGATTCAAAATGGTGTGGTTGACATAACGTCATTATTTCTTTTTTTTGGCATTTGATTATTAAAGACAGAGAAAACAAAGAAAGAATGAAAGACCTGGCGGCACTGCTATGACCTCCAGAGTACAGATTCAATCAATATCCACTTCAGAGCACTAATGGAAAAATGCAGTACCAGCCTGCTGGTTAAAACTGGTAGTTTAATCGTTCTGTGCCAGATTATTTTTTATTACAGATGTGATTTTTAAATTGTAATTCACATAAATCTCTTAATATGACATCAAAATGGAACCTATTTAAATTACAAAAATGCACATTTCTAGTCTTATTGTGCAACAATATAATATAATATAGCCTAATATAATATAATATATCCATTATATATATTATATTTCTCAGATATAGTTACAGAAATCTAATTGTAGTAGAAATCTGAGATACAAGTTGAGGTATGAGAACTTTATCACCTCAATTTATCTCTGTCTCACAGTTTGCATCATCTCTTCACACCTCTAACAGAAATAGGACTAAATCACAGAGAAATGAATTGAAATAAAACAGTGAGAAATCCAAACAGGGGATGGGGCTGGAGATGATAGGATTTGGAAGTAGCACACTCATCGAGTGAGAGGTTTTAATTGTGATGGAGAACGGATAATTAAATAGGTGTTTGGAAGTGCAATATGGTTACCTAATGGCAAGCAAAAAGAAAAAAGAAAAGAAAAATATGTACAAAGACAGAAAGAAAGAAGATTACACTGAAAGTTAATAAACCAAACATATTTTGACTTCTGATGTGTTCACACAGCAACAGAATACGGTTGTCGGCCCTGTATTTGAGTTCACACAGTTGAGTTATTTACGGGAGTAAGAACCGCATCAACAAACTCACACCCGTACATTTTCAGGACTCAAATCCACATTCTAGGAAAGCCCATGTGAACGAAACTGGACCGGACAACTAGTTCCCTGTCACGTCATATATACAGTGCAAGTAAGCTAACTCTGTGCTGCACAAACACGTCTACCATGTGTTGCGATTTCATGTGTGGCTTCGGTAACTTGCTGTGATGGAGATATGAGCTGTGTGTCATCTATGTTTTAGAAGGTTTACCTGTTTTCCACCAGAGCTATCCGTCAGTTTTATATGCCATGCGCGTTGAATCAACTCCACAACAACTACATACTTTTATCCACTAACCTATAGAATCGTTCAGTTGCATTCCAAAAGTCTAGACTCCAGTGTCTGACTCCAGTTGGAACATGTAAGGCTGAACACCGCTACTAACAATTTCTGACATTTTGGCTGAGTGATATTCTCCAGTTTTGTTGTTGCCGGAGTATCCGAAGCACAAGCTCTAAATTTGCATTTAAAGAGACACACAAAAGTAGTGTGTTTTTGCTCACAACCAAATAGACATTTGACAACGGATAATAAATGATCTGTGGGGTATTTTGAGAAACTTTCTGAGGACACCAGAGACTTATATTAGCTTCATCTTGAGCAAATGGGCACAATAGGTACCCTTTAAAACAACTAACACAATCAAGAAAAATGCATTTCCTAGTTTTTAAAATACAGGCTCATATATTCTAAATTATATTTTAGAAACAGAATTACACATCAGAAGATTAAATGATTCATTTTATGATTCATATATGCAACTTGCAGTGAATTCAAGGTACATGATATCAGTTTACTACAGTATATTTGTATTGGGATGGGCAGTAACCAATTATACCAAATTGTAGTTGGCACAAATGTATGATTTAATTTGTTTGTACTCTACAAATGTCTATTACAAAAGAATAAGCACTAAAAATCTGTTAGCACTTATTTTGTGTGGTGTGTGATGCGGTGGGCAGTCCATTCTTTTTTTGACAATGACAATGCAACTGTTTACACCTGTGTATACGAGGAGAGGAGGAGATAAATGTTGTGCATTTAAGCGAGACCGCAAAAGCCAAGTCAGCCACAAAGGGATTAATCTTGAACATACACAGAGAAAAATACCCACACTCAAAAGGCGCAGTCAAGTCTGCAAGTCTGCCACACACACGACTCGTGTCACATTGAGTGTGTTGCTAGAGCCTTTCCTGGCATTTATTTGACCTGGCCTATTTTACTCTGCGTATGGTGTCTTTGTCTAATAATAATATTCAGATGATAAATTTGCACATGTAGGAGCAGTAAATCGTAAATAATGACTCATTTTTTTACAAATTCAGAGAATCAAGCACTATCTCGCTGCTAAATTGCAATAAAATGATTGAATAGCCATCTTAAAGGCCTTTATGGGTATGCGGAAGATAAAGATAGAAAATATGGGACAAATACAGAAAGAACACAATAGATTTAGACTGACACAAAGCCCAGCCAATCACAGGCAGCCTGTTTTTCGCAGTCAGCCAATGAGAGGGCAGGGGTGGGGTATGAAATGTACTGGGGGAGGGGACAGGAGTGCTGCAAAACTCCCTTGATGGGGAGAGACAAAGAGACGCCGTAGCAACAGCAGCATCTCTTTGGTTACCTGCATCTGAGTCCTATTGCCCGGAGTGGACCTTGTCTTCTTTCTGCTCATATACTCCTTTAAGCAAGCGTGCCCAGTCTCTAAAGAGCCATGCCGGAGTGCTGGGATGGGGTGAGTGGGATATCTGTGATTACAAGAATGTAAATAGAGAGTAAGAGAGGCAATGCTTTCGTTTTGCTAATAATAAACAGCTAAAATGGATTTATAACAATTTGTTGGTTATATTATCATTTTTAAGTGTTTAGCTGGTTGAATAAATCTTGATTTGTCATAAATAACTAGCTTGACCTACTGAACCAGTAATTGTGATTGCATATTTATAATAATAATGTCAAATTATTTACATTTTTAATAGCTAATTACCACCCCAAAATTATGTTTTTAAAAAAAAAATCTTTTTGAGATAGTAAAAAAAAAAAAAAAAAGGAAAAAAAGACAAAATAAGAATAAGATATAGACACTAATTGTTTCATCTTCATCTTTAAATCATGTATTTGTGATGTTGGGATTCTGAGTTCTGCAGAAATGTCCAGTCATGTGTGAGGTGGCCATTTGCACTGACACACTAACACACTGACACGGATGAAACGTGCTCTCTCTAACGTACCCCTGCAGTAACCTGGCGTGTGTGTTCAGAAACGAGTGTTTGTGCATGTGGTAAATCATATGTCTGCAGTCCAATAACAAAATCTTCCTACAAGGACAATTCTGTGACCTTGAACAATACAAATGAGCAGCTACAAGGGAATTTCTTCTGAGATTATGATGCTTTACTATTTACTGCTCCATATTTGCATAGCATTTCGTTATCTAGGTCAAAATCCCTATTTATCCTATCAGTGTTTTTTGAATATTATCTCCATAGAAAACATGCTCAACGTTTTGCGGCACAGTGACAGCTGCCACAAGATTTACTTTTGACCTAAACACAGAGGGAGACAAACAGCTGCACTAAACTCACACACACACAGAGACCATTTGTATCTGGTCTGACCTTCCACAAATTTTCCAACATTAAAAACTCCAAATGAAAGGGGCTTAACCCCCACAGGAGATTTATTTCCCGTCTCTCAGTGGATCTGCATAAAGCTGCCTGTGAGGTGTATGCTAGGATTTGTGCATAACTCTGGAAGGCTATGCTGAAATAATCCCCAGGACAAGAAAAACATGCACACATACATTCATCTCTCGTCTGCTTGGACAGATAAAGTCTGAGACTAAATGTGGGTCAGATTAAAATGCTGGATCTGCCAATTAAAAGCTTGTTACGCAACCATGTGCAGTCAATCTGTGATCAGAAATGCTTTATGATAAATTAATTAGTCTTGTTTTAACTCTTGCCACTGTTGATTGAATTGATTTTTTTGTTCCCTGCTGAAATTTTAGCAGCCAATTATTGTATAACTACAATATAGCCTAAATGTTTTAATTGTTTTAGCTTGTATTTAGCTACAACCTACAGGCTGAAATCAGGGGCCTACGTATTTCAACCCAATGTCAAAAAGTGGCCCAATTTACTTGACTGCACCCTGGGAAATTAATACAAATTGAATAATGGCATGGCAATGTCACTATATATATATATATATATATATATATATATATATATATATATATATCAGCACGTTCTCAGCCCAAGGCGTCATATACTGATGCTTTTGACAATGCGTATACATCCAACGCACATGGCACCCTTCAGCATCAATATGAGACGCAGATATATATGGGGCAGAAGGCGCCTCCTAGTGGTCTAACCCAAATCCTACCCCAGACCTAAACCTACCCATAACTGAAGCGTGTTATATTGATTGTATATGCATTGTTGTATATGCATTGTCACTATATGACGCCCTAGGATGAGAATGCGTTGTATAAACATACTGTAAAGTTCAGGTCTCTCAAATGATCCATTGTAAGTCAGTGGTTATTAGGAAAAGTCTGGCCTGGACCTTCTCAGACTGTTTGGTGAAATCGCTTTTTGTTGTTGTTGTTGTAGGAACATGACATTGAAACCCCTTATGGGATGTTGCATGTGGTGATCCGCGGGGCTCCCAAGGGCAACAAGCCAGCTATCCTTACCTACCATGATGTTGGGCTCAACCGTAAGTAAACAAAGTTTTTTGTATTTGTTCGTACAAAGGTAAACTATACCCACATTTCTCTCTAATACCCAAAGCAATGCCCACTGCACCATTTCAATCTTGGTACACCATTTGTCTCCATGCATTGACCTGAAGTTAATTTCCCCATCTCCACGACCAAAAAGAGACGCTTGTGTGTTTATGTGTGTACTTTTGCATATGTGCATGTTCAAAGTGCAGCCCTCTGGAAGTAATGTGCGTGGGCTGTGATAAGAGCTGTAATTTGGAAGCCAGCTGACTGCAGTTTATCAGTTCTGTTAACCGATTGCATGCAGTGTGAGGTGAAGCTGATCTCAGGTGCACAGGTGATCAGCGCCACATGGGATGATAACTCAGGCACAAGGGAATTTTTTATACAAAGATATGGAAAACTAGATTGAACTTGATCTTTTGTTTATTTGTATTTATTTAGAATACTTATAGTATATTTTCTTTTTAAATTATTTTATATAAATTATGTATTTGTTAAAAATTGTGTATTGCATTGATTTAATACTTATATTTAGCCTATATAATATATAAATTATTATATATGTAAATAAATATAAATAAAACGCTATATATATATATATATATATATATATATATATATAGCACAGCTTTTTATTTCTTGTTCATTGTAGCTATACCTTTTAGGAAGGAGTAGCTATAAACAAAAGGGAATGAATGTCTATCTATTTTGTACTAAATGGGAATTATGGGAATTTAATCTATGGCATGATATGGAACATTAGATCCATTTATGGGTCATCAGAACAAAGGTGGCAGGGTTGCTATTGACCTTGATATTGAATTCCACATTCTGTCAATGTCAAACTTGGCCGAGAGCTCTTTTCATCACTTACAGCGTGGCTTTCCTGTCCTCTACATCCTCTTTCCACCTAATCCCTTCCTCTCCTCCTCTCCATGTCTGCCCATTCCTCATTATCTATTCCTGAAGTGTGTTATTCTCTGCCAGTTCTTATATGCAGTGTGAGAAACAGAGCGAGAGAGAGAGAGAGAGAGAGAGAGAGAGAGAGAGAAATATGTAGGTCACAAAAACATACCGATCATGCAGTGTTTGGGGAGGGGAGTGAGCAAGGTCAGCACTGCGGCATAGAGTAACTCTGACTCTCCTCTCTGCTGCAGATACATATTAGTATGCATGGCCATCCTTCCATCACAAAACATGACTAAGAGAGAGAGAGAGAAACAAAAAGAGAGAGATGTTCAGATTTTGGGGGGATTCAGAAGACTTATAATACAGCACACAAGTTATATGGATGACTTCCAAAATTTCTACTTTTGTACTCAACAGAATAGGTAACAGCATATGGGTTTGGATGGAACAACATAAGGATGAGTCAGTGTTTTGAGAAAGAGAGAGAGAGAGCAAGAGAGCAAGAGAGCGAGTGACATTGACCACTGACAGGAAACACTTGGCTATAAAAAATGCAAAGTGAGCAATAAAGCTGGGAGGGACTGTAAAAAATGGGTTCATTCACTAAAGGGTGAGTTAGTAGGGTAATTCATTAAATCCATTGAAGGAACAGCGTGTCTAAAAATAAAAAATCCTGTCATTTTTTACTCTGGGGGGTTCAGATTTCAGAAGACTTATAAGTTAAATGGATGACTTCCAAAATTTCGACTTTTGTACTCCACAGAATACGTAACAGCATATGGGTTTGGGACAACATAAGGACGAGTCAGTATTTTAATCAATCTATTGCTTTAAATAAACTTGAAGATCTGCCAAAATACCATTTGATGTTGATTAGGGAAATGGCATGATCAAAAATGAGTTATTAGTGCCGCTTGAGCAGTTATCTAGAACACTGAAGTTGTTTTGTTTGTTCATTTTATGATCTAAATAGGCCAACGAGTCTGGAAAAAGAAATGAGCAGAAAGAGAAAGAATGAACTGTCCCAAATTTGAAGTATTCTTTTATAATAATCAGTAATGTTATATAATGTACGATGTTATGAAAGGGGATCAAATGAAATCTGGGATAACAATGTATTACATGGTAGTTGTTGGAGATGTACGATGTAAATACCACAGGCACATAGGAACATAATCCTTCTGTACCATACATGGTGGTATAGCCTATATATCGAGGTACCACACTATCATTTTACAAAGGGAACATTTTTCAAATGTAACCACCACACAATATGTTTTTGTAAAGGCTACAACGTCTTGCTCTCTTTCTCTGAGCAGACAAGCTGTGCTTCAACACCTTCTTCCACAATGAAGATATGCAGGAGATCACTAAGCATTTTGTGGTGTGCCACGTGGACGCCCCAGGCCAGCACATTGGTGCCCCCCAGATGCCACAAGGGTATGATGAACACACAAATTAACATTTATACAGTATTAGCCATCTTAAACACATATGCAAGGAATATTGACATTCAATCAATTTGGAAAAAGAATCATCTTAGCCTGTCAGCTCAGATAACTTTCACTGCAACAACCTGCTACAATCTTCTTTAAATAAGGACCATATGTATTCCAAAGCATTAATTACAACCATTTAAGTTAAGTTCAGATCTATGCTAAAAAAGGAAGGTGACAGAGTTTAAATAAGGAAATGATTGTCTTAATGTCGGTTACTGTAACGTTAGGCCTAATACGTTATCCCACTAACGTTAACTGCATTTTTCCTCGCTAAATAAATACGTGGACATTAAATATATTTGTTTGAGTTTAAATTATTTTATAATCTTACCTGTAGGCTATGGCCTTAAAGCATCCGCGAAAAAATGTGCAATGTACTAAACAGCAACAAGACGAACACCCCAATGAATACTCCAGTGCTCTGAGGTGATTTTCTCTCCAGTTGAGACACAAGCTGAGACACAAGATGGCGCTAGTTGCGTTTGAATGAAAGAAAGGCGCGCGAGTTCGTGGCGACCAATCAGAATCAAGTATTCCAGAAAGCAACCATCCATTAAAATTTTATTTTTTGGTCTTGTTATTATTCCTAGGTATCAGTATCCCACCATGGACCAGCTAGCTGGGATGCTTCCCAGTGTGGTGCAACATTTTGGGTGAGTTATTATACTCTTAAAGTAATACCCCTATGGTGAAAATCAAGTGTTTAATGTTTTTAATATGTCTGGTGTTTTTTAATTGGCCATGCCTCAAGACAAACCATGTGCAAAATTCATAAGTCAACACCATTGCTGAGTGTTTTCTCCTTAAAACTGCAGTTTACCGAAGACAGCCTCAAAATCGTTAATTACACATTGTAACCAATCATGTGAGGGCGGGCTATAGTATATCATTAACTGCTACTGCCAATTAGCGGTTAAGAGGAGCCAGGTTATGATATGAAAAAATTGTGTATATTTAGCAATATTTTGTATTATATGATATCATATATTACGATCTATATATGATGGACTAATGTCTTTCTCCACTGACGTTCCAATTTGTTTAAAGCATTTCAAATGATACTGATTTTGAGAAGGCAGCTGTATTAGCTGTTTGATAATCATTTTAATTTCCGTTATGTTTCCAACATTGTAGAGAGCCATACAAAATGTATTACCACTCTGATAGTCAAGCCTGTATGAGTGAGTGGAGGCGGGGCTAGTTTGCATATTCATGGTTCCGCATACTAAATGAAACAAGGGTGTAGAGTTACATTCAAGCTATTTTAAGACATGTATATTTTTTTTCACAGAAAAAAAACTTTAAATATGTAATTTTGGTGATCAAATATGCGTTATAAAGGGACAACATTATATAGGTTGTAAGGATAACCTATTCATTACTCAATGTTCTCTTTTCTATAGCTTCAAGAGCATTGTGGGAATTGGAGTCGGGGCTGGTGCCTACATCCTCGCCAAATTTGCCGTTAGTATTAAATCTCAGCCTTATATGTTGGTCAATGGTCTTTTCATTCATATTCAGTGCAATTCAACGGTGTTTTCTACACATAGCTGATTTTCCCTGATCTTGTGGAGGGTCTGGTTCTACTCAACATTGACCCCAATGGGAAAGGATGGATCGACTGGGCTGCGACAAAATTGTCTGGACTCACCAGTGCTTTACCAGACACTGTCCTGGCCCATCTCTTCAGCCAGGTAGAAATTAATCTACATTTCTTACTGTATGTTTCACTATGGATACACATATAGAGTAACTTTATAAATCAATAATAAGAATTAAAATAATAGTAAATACATATCTTAGCCTTGATTTCTTCATCATATAAATGCCATTCTAAAATTGATACCTCAAGCTAAATATTATTTAGCTAACACAACATGTAATATTGTATTTGAATTACAGGAAGAGCTTATGAACAACACGGAAATTGTGCAAAACTACCGCCAACAGATCAATAACACCGTCAACCAGTTTAACCTACAGCTCTTCTGGAATATGTACAACAGGTAACTGCACACTGCCTTGCTAATATGTATGCAAAGTGATACATAATGCATGGATTAAATAAAAATGCTGATTTGGTAAAAAACAAAACAAAAAAAAACGTTTTTTTTTGTTGTTTTTTTTCAGCCGCAGGGATTTGGAAATGAACCGCAGTGGCTCTGTGCTAAATGCTAAGACCCTGAGGTGAGGACTATGTTAATTTGACTCTTGAGTAGTTATCACATTTACATATACCTGTGTAATCAGACTAAATTCTCAATTATCATTCTTGTAGTTGCCCGGCCATGCTGGTCGTTGGTGATAATGCTCCGGCTGAGGAAGGCGTGGTGAGTCTTTGTGTGTGATATTTAGGGAGAAAAAAAATGTAATCATGTTTTGCTCATCATTTTCATTTCAAATGTTCTTCCTCCAATCAAACGTCTCTTCTTTCCGTTTTTCTTTCATATTTGTCGAACGAGTTCGTATTTTGTAATTCAGAGACAGGTCAATACCTTCTGCATTCCTTTCTCTTCCTTTGTTTTGCTCCCTCTTTCTCCATTTTTCTCGTGGGAGCAGATGGCACCGGCCCCAGGGTTGGTCTCCCGGGCTTTGCTTGTTTGTGTGGACTGGATATTTTTAACTCTGTGCCATGGTCCTTTAATCTAACATATGAAAGCTGGGTTACTGCCCCATCACATCTAATCAGACACACAGGGTGAGAGATGAGGAAAAAGAGGGAAACACACGGTGAAGGGATGAGATGGATGAGTGAGAGAGAGGTAAATGACAAAAGGATGAGAGAAGAGAAGGATTTGAGTAATTTGGGTCAAGAGGAGGAAGATGAAAAGGTTGGAGTAGAAGAAAGAACAGAAGGATGAGTAAGAGATTAAGACGGAAATATATAAATGGAAAAGCAAGATGCTACCAGTGAATCGTTTGGATTCTTATTATTACAATATTCCCCATTTTATAATAATAGTAACAATAACAATACTATTAATTATCTGGTTTTACTCCAGTTTCTGTTCTAAATCATCCACATCTTAAAATATATACACAAATTATTTTAAATTATTAAACGTCTATAAAAATGACATATATTTATATTGGTTGGGGAAAGTACACATAGAGGATAGATAGGTTCCATCATCTGTATCACATATTGACTAATGCAGACACTTAGTGCTGGAATATGACTCATCTCTGCAGTGCCGCTGTAACTGGGACAGACCTCAACAACACACATACATACTCTATATATATAAAGTATAATCTCTTCCCTCCATCACACCATCCATTTTACTGCCCATCATTCAACTGCCTTGTAAAAAAAACTTGTTATATCTTCTTTGACTTTTCTTTTTAGCATATTCGTACATTTACGTTTTTGTAAAACACAGTGTAAATGCTTTCTATTCTTAGGTTGAGTGCAACTCAAAGCTGGATCCAACCAACACCACATTCCTGAAGGCAAGCGAACAAACATACTGTAGAAATAGAGGTGAAACTTTTTGGCATGTACATTTTCAGAAATATATGATAAAAAATGTATTTGCTTTCTTTCAGATGGCTGATTCAGGCGGAATGCCTCAGATTACACAGGTGAGACTGCTTGACCTGTCTGATCTCAGATCAGTCTTTAACAAATAGTCCATTACAAGGGTGACCCAACACTGCACTATATTTTTTTATTGATAAAAATGTCCCTAAAATCAAATATTGATTTTTTTTTATAACAAAACAAAATTCAAATTTGTATAATTTAATGATCTCTGCCGAAAAAACACGTCACAGGTCTCAAATCTCTCTCTTTTTTTTTTTTAACAGCCTGGCAAACTAACAGAGGCTTTCAAGTACTTCCTGCAGGGAATGGGCTACAGTAAGTCTAATTCATTTAATACCATTTTGACTGTCAAAATATTTACTAACAAATGTTTCAGGGCAAATCAGCACCAAAATCAGTGCATTTAATGATTCTTTGACTGCCAAATGTAAACCGATCCAATATTTTGTGTCCTTTCTCCCATGTGTGTCTTTATCCCATTTTGAGACAGTTGAGAGTGTATGCATGTGAATAAATGTCTGTGTGGAGGTGTTGTATTTGTTATAATCTGTACTGTATGTGTATTTTCCTGCCCTTTCTCAGTTGCTTATGTGAAGGATCGGAGAATGAGTGGGGGGCCAGGTACTTCCTGCTTCCTGTTCACGCCTGCCCTCTTCCTCATGTTGATGATACATGTAGTTTAGTCTTCTAATCCCTCGCTTTTTTTGATTGGCCTTGATTAATTTATGTATTTGTCCTTCCCAGACTGATATTTCCATTCATTCATTTTTTCCTTTATTGACCAGTGATTTTTCCTCTGGAGGAAAAATGTGCTTTGAATGCGCTCTCAAGCTCTCTGCATGGCAGTTATTTGAAAACGTAAACTTAGACTATAAATAACATGAAATATATATATATATTTGGCTTAGAATTATTTTAAAAAGTTTAAAATATATAAAAATTTGCTCCCTTTTCCTGAAATTTAACCTTTAAAAGAGCATTCACAGGCTGCAAGATCTTTTGTATTTTGAATATTATTATTTTTTTTTACATTTATATATTTTTACATCCTATTTTCAATATTTTCTTATTTTCAGTACAAATATCTAAACATAAAACCAGACACAATTACTTAGAAGCAAAAATGCATAAAATATTAAAAATCAAAATGGTCGATTTATGTTTAAAACAAAGGGAAATATTCATCAATGGGATAAGGGAAGTGAAATCTTAAATGAAAATATGTCAATAAAAATGAAATTGTTATACAATTTTGCGTGTGTATGTTTAGATATTGATTTTTTACTGAAAAAAAAGACAAATATCTATTAAGAAAATGACTTTTTACACTGAAACCAGGGGCATTTAGATATAAAGATTATGATTGGATTTTTTTTTTGTAGGATTTGAGTCATTTTGGTGTATTTGCGGTGGAATGTTATCAGCTTGAGGCTGAAATTATTCTCGACCAAAAGTTCAAGCATGTCATCCCTGCCTCCTCTGCAACACATCATGCAGCCCAGATGAACTTCCCCGTGGATATGAAATGACTATTCATCTCTCTTTCTCTTTTTCTCTCAGTGCCTTCGGCCAGTATGACCCGTCTCGTTCGCTCTCGAACAGCTTCTCTGACCAGCGCCGGCTCCGTGGATGGTTCTCGCAACCGTGCATGCACAAACTCAGATAGCAGTGAGGGAGTTGGGCAGGTCAGCCACACCATGGAAGTGTCCTGCTGAACCTTGGCACTGTCTCACACACACACATTTAGAGAGACGTGGCATGGAAGGAAAGCGTGAGAAGAATGAAGGTCTCATACTGCTCTCATTCTTTCTTTCTCAGTCCCTTTCTCTCAGTGTTTCAGTGTTAGCACTCATAAAGGATTAGTTCATCCAGAAATGAAAAATACTTTGATTATTTAATCACCCAGAAGTCTTCAAAACCTGTCTGACTTTTATTTCTTTTGTAGAACACAAAACGATATATAGTGCAAGCTACTATTTTCGATATAATGAAAGTGAATCGTTACCACATCTTCTTTGCGACTATTTTTTTTTGTGAATTGGCTTCAGAAGACTTGACAGGTCAAATACACCACCTTTATGATGCTTGCATTGTGCTTTGTCGCTTTAGGAGCACAACACTTGGTCCCCATCCGCTTCCATTGAATGGAAAAGAGCAGCTTGGGCATTCTACTAAACATCTGCTTTTGTGTTCCACAGAATAAAGAAAGACATAGATAAAAGGTTTTTATTTTGAGTTGAACTTTTCCTTTAACCTGTAAAAATTAAGACTTGCTGTCATTTTTCTCTTTAAAACAGTGTTTGGTTTCTCCCCATTTTGTAACACGGATTCTTAACGCTCAATGTGTCAGTGTTTCTGCACCCTTCGCTGGCTGCCTCCGGCCTTGACCTTTCTCCTAAGACAAAACTACAAGTCCCATCAGCCCCTGCTCTCACTCATTCCTGTCCTATGACAGTCTTTGAGGAGTAACTGATGGGTTGGTCCTGAGGAAGAGGACGAAATAAAGCAAGGGAAAGAAGAAGGGAAGGTTCGTAAACCAGAGGGTGACATTTGTAACCATGTTATGCTCTCCCTCTCAAATATGAACGAAATCAAAGCCATTGTATAGTCAAAGAGGGCAAAAATCTCAGAAAAACAGTTGCTTTCGGCTAATCGTCTCAGCTCATTCAGTCATCGGCAGTGTATGTATCACCTCATACTGTAAGGAACACGTTTTATTTGCATTATTCAAGCTAAATATGTAAATGAAGTATGAAAAACAGGTTTTCCCCATTAAAGTAGGAGCAGAAGTTGTATGACTGATTCGCCATGTTAGACTGCTTATTTTTTCAAGTATTACATCATAAAGGTCAATGGTCCCACACAAATACCCTTTTAGTGTGCACTCACTGTCATATAAAAGGGATCGTTTCTGTAAAATCTCCTTTTTATAGACAATCAGCTTCTAACCCAAACCAATCTGTGTGATAGGGTTTTCAGTGCGTTAATGGTACAGAATCAAGACCTCCCGCTTCCCTTACAGCACCCAGCCCCGCACAAAGAATATACCAAAGCTACTGATAGAAATGCACTCACAAATGTACACATACATTTTCCAATGAGGGCTGGGCTCTGCAAGGTAACAGCTTTTGTTTGCAAGCTTGTTTCATAATTTAGATTATTAGTTTAGTTATTTTTTTGTGCTATTTTACTTCTCAATTGACCTTTTCACACGGCTCTTAGTCAACATAGTTGGGTAAATTATAGTTGTGAATGGAAACTTCAACAAATAACTGTTTTTGCATTTCACTTGACTCTAATAGCAAAAAATAAATAAAAATAGCATTTGTAGCAAAAAAAAAGAGAGATTGATTACAGAGGTCAGAACAAAGATATTTTCCATCACTCCATCAGCCGTTGTAGAAACACTCGTACATCAGCATTACCTAGCTTTCTGAAATTGAATGCCAAGCAATATAACACAAAGTATAGTGTTATAACATGAAATATTTTTACGATTTTTGATGTTGATAATTGTGGGACGTGCTATCTCAGTCTGTGATAAAGGTCCATTATTGGAAAGATGTGTTGTTGTTGATGTACAGTATGTGTACAAACCGCACACAATAATCAGAAAAAAGCACCAACATTCACATGAATGAATGAGCAAATCAGCGGACAAACTAAATTAAAGGGTTAAATAAATGATTAAACAAATAAATGAATGAAATTGAATTAACTTCCGGAGGTGACCGACATGAGCTCAGATCTGATTGGCCGGAGCTGCTAACATGGGACTTACGAGGGCGAAGCAACCATTGACTTTCCATTTCACACTCGCTCTTATTGAATGTCAGTTTTCCTGCAGCTTCCTCAAACAGGAAGTGCACAATTACAACTTTTCAGGGGTGTTTCCTGTGTGTTTGTCTGTAAGGGGCGGGGCTTTCTGGAGCATGTCGCTCCAAGCTCGGAATGTAGGGCAAATCCCACCCCCCAACAAACCCAACCCCCAAAACAAGGTGCCCCGCCCCTCACAGACACTTCCAGTCGCCCCCAAAGGGCTATCGACCCAACGCATCGTGATCGACCTCACTCCGTGCAAAGCTGGGCGCAGCACTGTAGATACTGTACAAAGAGAAAGATGAATGCATGAAACGGAATAAATGTGTAAAATTAGATGAGAGGGAGAGATGGTACGAAAAGACCCGTGGAGGGTGTTCAAAGCGGGAGGGGTTAAAGACAAATTCAAAATAGACAGATTTCCTCCTAAAGACTCAATAGACAAACACATGTTCTTCCTCAGTATTGATTTGCATGCGTTTTGATGAGTTTGTCCTGATTTCCTGTTTGAAGTATGCAGTCGTTAGCTCTTATTAAGAGAGCATGCCCACCTTTCAAAGGTACATGTTTTTTCTCCGATCCCTGATCTCTGCCCGGGGGCCCTGAATGTATAATGTCCTTTGGAAGTGCTGTACAGTATTGTCGATGTGGCCCCGTATCACCTTTACTCGAATCAGGGCTTGCACCAGTTTGACCTGCCACACCTGCCTTCCCTTTCAACCCTTCCCTTCTCAGTCTATCTTCTGCGCTGTAGATACTTGCTGTTTTTAGGGCGTAAATCTAAAAATGGGTCTGTACCACTAGCTTTGTCATGTGGAATTGTTATACTTTTGATTTTCCTTGAGTTCCTTTTTTTTATAATATAGTCATTCTTATTTAACCACGTGTTGCATCTCTTCTTGTGAGAATTCAATGAGTATTATTATTAATATGATTACAATTGTTACGATTAGCCATTGTTTTGTATTAAGCAATAAGTTGTTGATGTTTTTTTTTCTGGAAGGGGGATGGTTGTTACAGGGATGGTTGTTACAAATATGTCTAAAGAAACAGTAGGAGTCACTCTTAACCTGCTTTACCATAAGACAACTATGAAAAATAATGTGTTTATGTAATATGTACATCTATATACAAGCTGTCACTGTCTGTGTACTACAAATATGAACGTGCAACAAATAAAAATGGATGTACAAACAGGATCAGGTCTTTTAGTTATTTTCTTGCAGTTTGGCTTGTATCGACATTCGACACCCACGAAACACACACACACACACACACACACACACACATTTATATAGTATAGTAAGTATCGACATGCTATGTTGTCTGCGCTGCTGCTGGTGCGTGGCGATAACGTCACAGATAGGCAGACTGAATCGAGTAACGTTTAACGCCTGTATCATTAAAACTAAAGTTCTTAGAAAAAACATCCACATAAAGTCTGACATGCTTAAATTCAATGCGTTATTTCCTAGTATCGATACAATCAATTGATTAACTTTTAAAACGATTTTAGCCAACTAGCAGAGCACAGATCGATGTAGTTGGAATATGAATTTAAATCGATACCAGAGAATGTCTACACATCGATGTAGAAGATGAATCGTTACACCCCTAATATATAAATAGTTCTAAGTTGCTCTTATGGAAACCACTTATGGAAACCACATTTCTTCCACATTTGAATGCCATCATAAACTTTTTGTCATAATTGTCCTTATCATAATTTGTCTGCAGTAGTAGGCTAATCCAGCTCACACATTTCATAAACTTTGCTGTAGCCTAGTTTATTTCAAGAAACAAAATTTGCGATACATTTGTGAATTTCTTCCTCACATGCATAACAAAGCTAGGCATTTAAAGATGCATTGAAAGAAAACTTTTATAAGCTGCATTTCAATTAACATTAGCCTACTTCTAAGCTATACAATAAATGTACATACTTCATTGGTGAAGGGAATTCCTTTTAATATAATATGATAAGGCACATATTTAATGAAATTTCTAGTCACACTTTATATTAGGTATTGTTAACTACTTTGTAGGCCTACTTTCATAAAAAATAGTACAATGCACTTGTGTTCATATTGAATATCAAAACACTTTTGCTGCTACTGAGGTGAGATATGGGTAAGGTCAGGGTGGGATGGTTAGGTTTAAGGGAGGGTTAAGGGGTATGGGAAGGGTCAACGGGGTAATCATAGATGTAATTACAAAAATTAATTAGTTAATAAGTTTAGTGTAAAAACATTTATGTGCACAATAAGTGTATTGTATCAAATTATTAATTTAAATGTACATACAAAGACACCTAATATAAAGTGGGACCAAATTTGATTGATACCACAGACTCTTTGAAACTTTTTAGATGTGAAAACTAAAATTAGCAACTGATATATTCATTGTCTTGCATTATCTTAACCCTGCAAATACACACTTAAAAAAATACTCTGCTATCTTTATGATCTACGATCATTTGCAATGTACTATTTCTAATCTTGCAAACTATTAGTACAGACAGAATGTGAAATGGGATGCAGCTATAATGTCTCAAATAACTGGAGACTTACTGAAAGATGAGCTCATAAGTTAGAATGTAGGCATCACTGTAGACATACAGCAGATGATCTCTGGGGTCATAGTTTAGAAACTGAATATTAGTCTGCATCTTCTTAATATTAATTTTCAAATCAAAGCGCTCTTCTTTTGTCTTGGTGTCATAAGAGTAAAAGATCTCTTCTGTTTCTTGATCTAGGTAACGAGTAGCATAAAGCACACCGCACACCATGAAGGTGTTTGTGGCAGTCCTTTTGTGAAGAGAAGTGGACCATGTTTGGTTTAAAACAGGAGGGTTACTCGTCTCAACTTTACTGATTATCACATTTCCAAAGTTGCTTGTGGTTGCGTATATAACATAGACGCCCGATTCATCTGTGGCGAAATCCATATCTGTATAGGCGTATGTGGCGGCGAGATGTGCGAAAGGAAACTTGTTGCTGTAACCTGTATCTTTAGGTAAAGCAACAGTACTGACAGCACGAGTCGTCATGTTGAACTGACAGACGGAGTATGTGTTGTAACAGTTATAGTAGAGCGCATTGCCGTACATGACCATGTTTGGCCCCTGAATTGTGTTTGTTGTGGGGTTGGTGCTTGAAATATATGTATCTTTTGGTCCTATACCTAATAAAAGAGTACTCAAGGTACCGTACTGGCGGATAAAGTTGCCGTAAACATTACTAGTGGACAGCACCACCAGCCAGTACTTGTTCTCGTCTCCTGGAGCCGGCTGTGCATCTCGACCCCAAGCACCGTAAGTATAGGAGGTGAATACCGTGAGGGAATACGTTCTCGGTCCCGCCACACTGACCACACGGCCCAGACCACAGCGGGCTGCAAAGAGAAACAGAAACGTAAGACTTTCTGCTGTGGTTAAAAATGAAAAAGCTCAGAAAGCTTGAGTTAAGCGATTATTGGGGTCTTAGCAAACCTGGGAGAACTGTAGGAGGTGCTGCTGTAGTAGCATTGAGCTCTTCTTTACACTGTTCCAGGTCCCTCTTAACGCGCTCGTTCTCTCTATTTGTCTTTATCACCTGCATGTTGTCAAACTTCTCCAGTTCCGCCATTTTGTCTTTCATAACTTCAAGCTTTAAAGGGATAGTTCACCCAAAAATTAAAATGATGTCTTCCCAAGCCCGTAAGACCTCCGTTCATCTTCGGAACACGGTTTAAGATATTTTAGTTCACAAGTTCACACTTACAAATAAGTCAAATAGAATAAATGCGTATTTGGCGTACTGTCCGAGGAGAGGGCTCCGGGCTCGGTATGCGGCCCGAACTCAGAGTACTCCCCCCGTATTGCTGGATAACAAGTAACGAGGCGAGTGTGAGGAGACGGGGTGGTGGAGGGATGCTGAAAAACTGTCGAGAAACATTGGTGAGTCAAATGAGTATATACATATGTATATATATATAGGTCTCCAACTCAAGCTGACTCAGCTGGTTGGAATGATAATTGGATCAATTATTTAAACATGCTCCTCCCAAACTTTATTTATAAAACATCATATGTAGAGTTTTCTGTCCCTCCATTGAAAATGTATGTACGGTATACTGTCCTTGTCCAGAAAGGTAATAAAGACATCATCAAAGTAGTCCATGTGACATCAGTGGGTTAGTTAGAATGTGTTGAGGCATTGATAATACATTTTGGTCCAAAAATAACAAAAACTATGACTTTATTAAACATTGGATTGTCTTCCGGTTCTGTCCGCATTGACGTTACTGACGGAACCGGAAGAGAATACAATGTTTAATAAAGTCGTAGTTTTTGTTATATTTGGACCAAAACGTATTATCGATGCTTCAAAACATTCTAACTAACCCACTGATGTCACATGGACTACTTTGATGATGTCTTTATTACCTTTCTGGACAAGAACAGTATACCATACATACATTTTCAATTAAATCTAAAATATCTTAAACTCTGTTACGAAGATGAACGGAGGTCTTATGGGCTTGGGACGACATGAGGGAAAGTCATTAATGACATCATTTTCATTTTTGGGTGAATAATCCCTTTAAGAAAAATATCACATAGTACATTTTTTAAACTCTATATCTGTAGTTTGAAGACAACAGATGAGCCTATTAAAACTTGGATATTTTTTATGTAAAAAAATAATAATTATAGAAACACAAAAGAACCAAATAAATGATTAATATTAGAAAATAATAATAATAAAAACGACAAAGCACTTTTTTGTACAGCACGTCACCTGAGCTGCAGGCTGTACACTGAGGTGATGGTAATTTTGGGTGGTCCTGTTGAGTTTGTTGAGGAGGTCCTGAATCTCGGCGATCTCTAACTCGATGATGCGCAGAGACACGGCTCCATATAGATTCCTGTCATCCTCCTTTTCTAGCACGATCACGTTTTCCTCCACCTGCTTGACGCGTTGTTGTAGACCCAGCATAAGCCTGTCTAAGTCTGTCATCTGCAGAAATTTACATTAACACTCATAATTGTCTTAATTTAGTTATTTAAACTACATATAACATTTGAGAAAAAAATATACTTTGAATTCTACCTTTTCTGAAGTGATGGTCCTAGTGCATTGTAAGGCAGAGGTTTCTACGTTCTTGAGTTTTTTCTCAGGGAAAGCAGGATCTGAATTTTTTAGATCGCACACGCAGTCCTTCCCTCTCACGGACTGTGATGATCAAACGACAGGAAATTCAATTATACAAAACAAGCAAAAGCACATTATTTGAAATTTAATAGTCATGTAGGAAAATATAGTGTTGATTTCTTTCTTACCTGAGTGAAAGTTAGAGGAATGAGGATCAACAAAATGAATATAGACTGACTCATGTCTGTAGAAAGTGGACCCTGCGCTAAACAATGTAAGCTGCAGAGTTTTAAAGCCATATCATTATGGTGAAATAATTAAAAAAAAAGTGAGATATACTTCTTTATTTCTGTGGGTGGAACAGTTTGTTGCAATCTTCGTCTTATCTTTGTGGACACCTTCAGTAGGTCCATGAGTAATTGAAAATTGTATTGTTAATCATGAACTGACAAATTTTCGACGCTTGTTTTGCCCCACAGTCGGTGATATTGCAGATTTGTTGAGAGAGGTGTGTTGGTTTGTTTTTTTCTTCTAAAGTTCTTTTGTAACACTTTATGTATTTGCAACATCAAAGCGTTTGTTATTTGCTCATCATGCTCTCGTACCTGTTGGTCCTCACAGTCACAGTAAGTCCCATCTTTAATATGTTTTGGATTTCTTTAATGACTTTATTAGGGGCCAAGCCCCGAAGGGGATAGCCCCTATTGTATCTGTTAGTTTTCTTATTATTATTATTATTATTCCGTAAATGGAAGTCTATGGCAGCCCTATGAACCGTAAGTAGGAAAATGTTGAAATTTGGCACACTTGTAGTGATGGTAATTATTAGTAATTGGTCCAATTTTTGACCCTCTAGGACCAACTCTATAGCGCCACCACCAGTTCAAAAATTCAACATTGAAATGGTTATAACTTTTGAACCCTTTGCTCTAGAGACATGAAACTTAGTACACCTGATTCCTCTCATCATGCTGATCACAACCAATACCTTACATTAAGACCCCGCCCATTACAGTAGAGGCCATTTTGAAATGTACAGTATTCAGTTTTTTCCCTACTCCTCCTTCAAATTTTGTCCAATTCTGTCCAAAATTTGCTCAAATGATCTTCGGACTGAGCCACACAGAAATGACTGAACAGATTTTTTTTATTCATCTTTGTTCAAAAGTTATGGTGTCGCAAACTTAACGAGGTCCACCCAAAATTGGCTAAGAGGCTGTATCTCGGCCAAAATTGAATCAATCGAAACGAAAATTGGTACGTTTCATCGGAAGCATGTTCTGAGGATCCATACCAAAGTTGGGAATAGCGCCACCTACGGGTCATGAGATATGCAAAATTGCTATTTTGGCCAATAACTTTTGAACAGTTTTTCAGAAAATCATAAATGTGGTATCTATGAATTCCTTGGATCATGCCGAATCCGTGGATATCGATTTTGACATGATGGGCTGTACCTCGTGTCCGCCATTTTGAATTTTGTCATAATTTGCAATATCTTTAAACCTCTTTGAAATTTCTTGACCAAATTTGGCATGGATCATCATTAGCATGCCCTGAGGGTACATGAGAAGTTTTATCACAGCGCCACCTAGTGTTCCAAAGTTATAAGGTTTTTTGTAAAGACGCTTATAACTTTTGCAAATATTGTTCAAAATGTAATTTCTTCATGTCAATATGTTCCTTGGCTTATAACGATTCCACCGATGTCTCATTTTTCATTTTCCAACAATGTGACTGTCCGCCATATTGGAGCAAATGAAAAAACATATTTTCGCTACTCCTCCCTCAAATCTTGCTCGAATTTGTCCAAAATTTGGTCAGATAATCTTTGGACCGAGCCACACAGAAATGACTGAACCGATTTTTGATATTCGCTATCGTTTGAGAGATATTTGTCTCCAAAGTTGACCTAGCCTGTGTTTGTTGCCTTATGCTAGTTAGCTTAGCATAATAATTGTTTGGCATGCTAACCAGGTGCCATTCTTTTGAATGCGGCTCTTCAGCTATCAGGATAACCATAAGCTAAATTAGCATTGAGCTAGCTTAGCATGCTAATCACGTTAACATGATTTTGTGTGCTTATTCTTATACTGAAGGCTCTCCTCTGCAGCTCAATTATTTGCGTCTTCTGTGTGGCGCAAGCTGCTAAACCACGTGTCACGAATCCCGAACCATTGCGGTCGTGGGTTCGAATCCTGTGTGGCACATGCCCAGACCGCAAGAGGTACTGTGGCCATAAGTGGTGGAAAAGTTGTTTCAGTTCTAGACATGGTGTCTGTCTGAGAAAGGACTTCCAAAAATATAACATGCAGCAAATTTATATATTAAAAAAATCTTAATTTTGAGGTTCTTTTCACTTGTACTACTGACCCAACAGTTTTTTTTTCAAATGTCGGAGTTGCTGCTGCTTCCGGGCTTGGCCCCTGCATTGCTGCTTGCAGCTATATTAGCAATTGTTATTGTCAAAATAACAATTTGCTTCTTCTTCCGCCAATGGAAGTCTATGGCAGCCCTATGAACCGTACATAGGAAAATGATGAAATTTGGCACACTTGTAGTGATGCTAATGAATAGTAATTGGACCAATTTTTGACCCTCTAGGACCAACTCTATAGCGCCACCACCAGTTCAAAAATTCAACATTGAAATGGTTATAACTTTTGAACCCTTTGCTCTAGAGACATGAAACTTAGTACACCTGATTCCTCTCATCATGCTGATCACAACCAATACCGTACATTAAGACCCCGCCCATTACAGTAGTGGCCATTTTGAAATGTACAGTATTAAGTTTTTTCGCTACTCCTCCTTCAAATTTTGTCCAATTTTGTCCAAACATGAGCTCAAATGATCATCAGACTGAGCCGCACAGAAATGACTGAACAGATTTTTTTTATTTTTCATTCTTCAAAAGTTATGCTTTTGCAAACTTAACAAGGTCCACCCAAAATTGGTTAAGAGGCTGTATCTCGGCCAAAGTTTGATCAATCGAAACGAAAATTGGTATGCTTCATCGGAAGCATGTTCTGAGGTTCCATGCCAAAGTTGGGAACAGCGCCACCTATTGTTCCAGAGATATCATTGTTTTTTGAAAAAACGCTTATAACTTTTGCTAATATTGCTTGAAATTTGATTTCTATATGTCAAAATATTCCTTGGGTTATGCCGATTTCAACGATATCTCATATGTTACTTTTGAACAATGTGACTGGCCACCATATTGGAGCGAATGGGAAACAGTTTTTTCGCTACTCCTCCTTCAAATTTTGTCCAATTTTCTCCAAACATGCACACAAATGATCTTCGGACCGAGCCGCATAAAAGTACTGTTCCCGTTTTTTTTTGCAATATGGGGAAAAAAAAAGTTATGATGTCGCAAAATGAACAAGGTTGACCCAGAGATGGATCAGAAGCTGTAACTTGTGAACAGTTTGTCACAAAATCATAAAATTGGTATCTATTGATTCCCTGCGTCCTGTCGAATCAGAGGATATGCATTTTGCCACGATTGGATGCACCAAGTCATAAGATACATTAGAATTGAGCTAGCTTAGCATGCTAATCTGGATAACATGTCATGGAACTTTTTTGGGAATCATTCTCACACTGAACCCTCTCCTCTGCTACTTTGAAATTCACAACCTCTGCGTGGCGCAATATGTTAAACCATGTATCTCCAATACTGAACCACTCTGGTTGTGGGTTCGAGTCCCACGTGGGGCGACTTTAAAATTGTGTAATAAGTTTTCAATTCCTTCCTGCTCTGCACTGCTGTTTGTGCTTAAATGCTCACTGTGCTTCATTTACATGTGTATTCAATTTGTGCTGTTTTTGTTCTTGCGGCTCTGCACTGCTCTTGGTGCTTAAATGCCTGCTGCACTGCTGTACTTGATGTGCTGGCTCTGTGCTTGGTCTGCTTGCTGCGCCTTGCTGGGCTTGGCCCCGTGTTGCTGCTTGCAGCTATATTTTGGAATGTTTTTTTTAATGGAACAAAATTAAATTTTAAAATTAAATATAAATTTACAGTATTGTTTATTTATATTAATTATAATTACTTTCTATATTAAAGTGGTAATATAATAGATCTCATTATTTGGCTCCCAATAAAATTAATTTGTACTAATATGTTTGTTCAATGATATGGATATGTCTATATGTTTATAAAATTAAATATGAAGTTACAGTATTGTTTATTTATATTTAATATAGCCTAATTACTTTCTATATATGGCTACTATAATGGTTATATACTAGATCTCATTATTTGACTCCCAATAAAAAATTAATTTGTACCTAATATGTTAGTTCAATGATATGGATATGTCTATATATGTTTATAAAATTAAATATAAATTTGCAGTATTGTTTATTTATATTTATTATAATTACTTTCTATACATATTAAAGTGGTAATATAATAGATCTCATTATTTGACTCCCAAAAATTATTGAAGCATTAATTAAGGTAACAATTTACAAGGTTATTTTATTTTAATAACTTGTTATAATACAATAAATTAAGGTTAAATTTTTTTTGGTTAAAATTAAACTCATGCATTAATTTGCCATGTAATTGTTTAAAAGGCAAAAATTCAGTAAAATGCTTGAATTGTGAATTGCATCCAATATCTTGTGTTTTCATGTGTTTGTGTGTAATCAGGCGACTGCTCAGGCTCAGAGAATTCCAGGTGAAGAGCAGAATGGTTCCTGCGTGTGTAAATTAAGCAGCTCTATCTGGGCTTTCCCTACTGTGAAATTCGAGGAAGTCGCAAATCAAGTCCAGACCTGTGAGGACAACCTTACACAGTTTCATAAAAAGGTGAGATCCTTTAAAGTCAAATAATAGTGTAGATTCAAATAATGTCAGTGAACTCATTTGCGTTGTAAACTTCCAGGTAAAGGACAGTAATGTACAACTGCCAAAGATGGAACTCACTCTTAAGGAGATCACAGCCCGCCTGAAGCCGTTTGAGTATCTGAACACAAACGGCCTGTACAACGCCCTTCACCTGCGACAGCTGATGGAGGAACTTGACGAAATCTATTACACTGCCAGTGATGCTCACAAGAAAAGCCCCAGCAAAGAGACCAGTGACCTTCTGAAGGAGGTAGATCTTTCTTAAAATAGTGACTAGGTTTCCAAAAATACCCAAACAACATAAAAAAGCACCATAAAAGTAGTCCATATGATTTGTCATGCTATTTGAGTGTTTTTTTTTTAAATATACTATTAAAACAATTATTATTTTAATAAATTCTGTTTTAGCTTTATTATTTTTATATGTTTACAGTGGTAATTTTGTTATATTATTTTGGTTTGTGTGTATATGTTTATATATATATATATATATATATAGGCCTAAGCTTTATTTTAATTACCAAAAACAACTTTCAGTCGGTTTAGTCAACAATAACAATGGTTGCCACAAGTCTTCTGAAGTCATATGATAGTTTTGAATGAGAAATATTTAAATCAAAGACATTATTCAATGATAAATTGTTTGAAGCTCATCTTTAGTCATAGACACAAACACGTCACCTTGGGGTTCTAAGCATGCGTCAAAATGGCCGCCATCTTAGAACGGGGTCTTGTCATAGGAAGTAGCTAGCTGCTATCTCTGCCTTTACTTCGAATTAATGGATGGCAGCGGACTTTCATGCTGCGGATGATGATCACGAATGAAATCTGAACTAGGAAGAATGTTTTCTAAAAAATTATTATTATTTTACAAATTTTTCTGGAATCAATGATAAATACATGTCTAACTGTTGGAACGAAAAAAAATGTGAAAAACCGCATTCATGATGATTTATGGTGATTTTATTTCTGTTAGACCTTTGCATTAAAGTTGAGGGGCTCCCCTGTTCCAAGATGGCGGCTCTATTGACGCATTTGTTCTAATGAACTGCCATAGACAAGGCGACACGATGAGTGCTTGTGGATCCTTTTGAACATTTTTCCACATCTCATATTCACTCATAAAGTTCTCAAATGTAGCCATTTTAGGCTCAAACCAGTCAATGCGCTCATTTTCTCTGATATCGTCAGATAGTTGTTCTTACACAAGCCTATGAGCAGTCTTGAATTCTTCAAGTGACATAAAAAATATCTCTGCACTTCTTTTTAATGATTCCACATCACAACCCTCAGCAAGCAATGCCTTTACTTCATTTATCCTACGTGTGCACACACCAAGCTTTCCCCTACGCATAGAACTGAGGGATCCAATGCTTTGTTTAACACCATCCTTTTCATTTTTGGACATTTCATCAGCCATGTTTGACACAAACAAGCACAATCAAGTATCCAGCTTTCCATAGAATCAGCAGGCCACAATGTACAGATAAGCATCAGCTTCTTGTACCATGCTTTGATCAAAGCCAAAATTCTCAACCACAGCTTTTAGAAATAAGTTCACCCTTGTTTACTCACGCATTGGATGAATTTCAGAATCCTTTCAAAGCTGTCGATACGTGTCACTCATGGCTTGATCATTCCAGGATCGGGCCTACCGCATGCCTGCATGTCCTTCTTGGGAGTTTTTTGACTTAATGTAGTGGCTTCTTTCCTTCTTAAGCCACTTCCATGAGAGAAAGTATTTTTGACGCTACATCTGTTTTAACAAGACTTGAGTTTTATTGTAACAGAAAGGTGAAAACTTGAAGACAAAACTCTGTGTTCCAAAACAAACAGTGCTGTGTGGTGTACAGTAGGTCAAAAACTGTCTCCCTTCCCCTCTGCCCTTGCCACATCACTTCCTGTTTAAGATGGCTACCTTCAGGAAGTCCCAAAAAAGGGGTTCAATTCCTTCCCCTTACCACAGGTGGGAGTGCAGACAGTAGTTACATACAACCATGACATTAAGTAACATTATTAATAGCCTTATGGCTCCTTCAATAGCTATGATGTTTAGTCAGCAATCATATCCAAAAATCAGAAATGACAGAAATTTTTTTTCTTCTGCTCATTGAAGTTCAAATTGCAAATGAACAAAAGATTCGCCAAAAAATGGAAGACGACAAAACAGATTTTCGAGTGGATCCAAAGATATGTTGACAATGTTTCTGTATTCTGTTTCTCTCAGTTGACTAGGGCAAAGAAGGACATCCAGAACATGTACAAAAGCAATGTCTTCAATCTAGAGACAATGAAAACCAGGCTACGTGACCTCAACAACAGAGCCCAGAACTGCAAGACCATACCTGAAGACTTTAGAAGTAAGTACATGACTCTCAATGAGAGGAGAAATGTTTTGACATTTCCGTTGAGATCTCATTGATGTTTTCAACAGCATTGTGAAAATCGGTTTGCTCTTTTCATGAAAGAGACTGTAAAATATGTTTACCTGAATATTGAACATATGACCAATACATATACAATGCACTTGCAGGCACTTGTCATCAGCGTATCATGTCCAACATAAGTTCTCCAGTTGTCACCAAGCTCAATTCCATCAGCAAGTCCTATATATCTGGTGCTTGGGGTAAGGAGGCCAGACCGAACAGCAAGGAACGTTATTGGGAACACTGTCTGGTGAGTGGAAACAAGCATGGGAACACAATCAGGATGTACAACTCGTACGAAGATTTCATGGCCAGCAAGAACTACAAAGATGAACAGATAGCACCATCCTACAGCCACAAAAATGCTGTTCAGGGCTCTGGCACTATACTGTATGACAACACTGTGTTTTACCAATGCTACAGCACCGCTGAGATCTGTAGCTTCAACATTACAACACAAGCAACCAAGCGTGTAAAACTGGATGGTGCCGGAATCGACAACAAGTTCCCTTTCTGCTACTACAGCTGCCGTGACTGGACAGACATCGACCTGGAGGCTGACCGAGACGCCGTGTGGGTGATATACGCCACCGAGGAGAACCACGGCAACATTGTTGTGAGTCGCTTAGACCCGCTGGAGCTCAACATCACACACACCTGGAAGACACATCTCTTTAAGAGGTCCGTCACCAGCACGTTCATGGTGTGCGGGGTCCTGTACGCTACACGCTATGTTAGTACTTACCAAGAAGAGGTGTTTTATGCCTTTGATACAACCACTGGCCGAGAGATAAACACTCTTTCTTTGCCTTTTGAGAAGGTTTCTGCTGGAATAGCCAATCTTAACTACAACCCTGTTGATAGGAGACTTTACATGTATAATGATGCCTATCTTTTATCATATGATACCTTCAACTGAGAGTCTTTTATATGCAGCTAAGAAAAAAAAGCAATACCATATAGTTTATATCAGTCCAAATTGCACAGAATGCAGAAAATCTTTATCAGAGGTTAATCTAAATTTTTTTTGTGCTATATTGTTATATGACTGAGTCTTTTGAATTGTTTTTGTCTAATTTTGTTATTACAATAAATGTTCTTAATACAGATTAGCAAATGCTTAATAAATATGCTTTAAGTACAGCACTTCTCTGTCAGTTCTCTGTTGTATTTTTTTTACTAAATACTGTTGCGAACTGCACACTTTCTTTCAGTACTGTAATGTCACAACACATACTGCAGACAAAATGTGATCTCATCAGTCTAAAGGCTTCTTGAAAGTCGATGTTCATTGTTAGATTATTTAAATTCTAAATATTATTTATTGAGTTGGACCAACTTAATTTTCGAAAATTTTAATTCTAAATATTAATTATTGAGTTTAACCAACTTAATTCATAACAATTTAAACTGAGTTGGGCCAACTTCATTTTCGAAAAATGTAAATTCTAAATATCAATTATTGAGTTGGATGAAGACACCTGGTCCCCTTTTTTGACATTTCTTAATACTTAATACCACAAACATAACCATAAGTGGTGTACATACATACATCCCCCCTCCCAAATGTATATATATATATATATATATATATATATTCTTCTTCTTTTTTCTTATTCATTTTTTTCTCTTTATCATTTTTTTGAAAAATCTGCTGAAAAATTAGGAGATACTAGCAGACACAGAGAGAGATGGATCAGTGACAACACAGTGCTTTATTGAACATCAAACAGGTAAGTGATGATCACAGATTATGGTAATTTGCATGTTCACTCGGCTCATCGTCAGCGAAAATCGCTTAGCTGTAAACACAAAAAACTTGTTGAAAAACGCTGGCGAATAACCCGCTGATATTCGTCCCGGTGTGTACGGGCCTTTATTCTAGTGCTAGTGTTACAGCCAAAACAATCTATGTTGATTTCATTTCCTATTATCGCTGTAAAGCTGCTTTAAAAAATCTGTATTATAAAAAGCACTATAAATTACATAATTGGCAGTGATCTTGCTGACAATAAACTAAACTTAACTTAAATGAAGGTGACTTGACTTGTTTGCCTTTGTTTCCTTTGCTGCCTTTAAGTCTCCATAGTTACCCGGGGTTGTTTACAAGTGTATTGTTCAAGTTCATTGGAGACTTACTGAAAGATGAGCTCATAAGTTAGAATGTAGGCATCACTGTAGACATACAGCAGATGATCTCTGGGGTCATAGTTTAGAAACTGAATATTAGTCTGCATCTTCTTAATATTAATTTTCAAATCAAAGCGCTCTTCTTTTGTCTTGGTGTCATAAGAGTAAAAGATCTCTTCTGTTTCTTGATCTAGGTAACGAGTAGCATAAAGCACACCGCACACCATGAAGGTGTTTGTGGCAGTCCTTTTGTGAAGAGAAGTGGACCATGTTTGGTTTAAAACAGGAGGGTTACTCGTCTCAACTTTACTGATCATCACATTTCCAAAGTTGCTTGTGGTTGCGTATATAACATAGACGCCCAATTCATCTGTGGCGAAATCCATATCTGTATAGGCGTATGTGGCGGCGAGATGTGCGAAAGGAAACTTGTTGCTGTAACCTGTATCTTTAGGTAAAGCAACAGTACTGACAGCACCAGTCGTCATGTTGAACTGACAGACGGAGTATGTGTTGTAACAGTTATAGTAGAGCGCATTGCCGTACATGACCATGTTTGGCCCCTGAATTGTGTTTGTTGTGGGGTTGGTGCTTGAAATATATGTATCTTTTGGTCCTATACCTAATAAAAGAGTACTCAAGGTACCGTACTGGCGGATAAAGTTGCCGTAAATATTACTAGTGGACAGCACCACCAGCCAGTACTTGTTCTCGTCTCCTGGAGCCGGCTGTGCATCTCGACCCCAAGCACCGTAAGTATAGGAGGTGAATACCGTGAGGGAATACGTTCTCGGTCCCGCCACACTGACCACACGGCCCAGACCACAGCGGGCTACAAACAGAAGAAAAATGAATATATATATATATTTTTTTACACAACCTAGTTGCTAATAATGAAAAAGCACAGGAAGCTTCGTTTGCATCAAAATGGAATATTGCAGTGTTTGTTATAAATATTGTATCTGTGCACATCATTATATTTTTATTTAATAATGATATGCCCTTGTAATATTTAATCAAAATTACTGGAATGAGGGCAGGATAGCCACTCACATGAGATCACACAGCTATTGCACACCACAGCATTCAAACATAAAATCAATTCCCAATGGACGCAAAGATCTACTCTACATTCATTTCTTGTTCAAGAATCCTTTTCAGAAGATACTGATACTATTGCAACTTCCATAATATTGGGGACTTTAGCGTACCTGATGAAACTGTAGGAGGTGCCGCTGTAGCCTTTAGCTCTTTTTTGCACTGTTCCAAGTTCTTTGTGATGCGTCTCTCTCTATTTCTCTTAATTACTTGCATTTTGTCAAACTTCTCCAACTCCAGCATTGTGTCTTTTATAGCATCAAGCTACCAAAGGGTGAAAAATGAGAATTCGGGATGTTAAAGACAAGTACACTCTCAGAAAAAAAGGTACAAAAGCTGTCACTGGGGCTATCACTTTTGTCCATTTTAGGTGCTTATCTGTACATTTTAAGTGTTCATATGTACATTTTAGGTGCTAATATTGTACTAATATGTACATTTTAGGTGCTAAGTACATTTTAGGTGATAATATGTCCATTTCAGGAGCTAATATGTACATTTTAGGTGCTAATATGTACATTTTAGGTGCTAATATATACACTTAGGTACTAAAATGTACATTTTCGGTGCTATGTCCATTTCAGGAGCTAATATGTCCATTTTAGGTCCTAATATGTACATTTTCGGTGCTAATATGTACATTTTAGGTACTAACATGTACATTTTCGGGGCTATGTCCATTTCAGGAGCTAATATGTCCATTTTAGGTGCTAATATGTACATTTAGGTACTAATATGTACATTTTCGGTGCTAATATGTACCAATATGCAGCCTTTGGGTACAAAAGTGTACCTTTTGAAAAGGTACAGCCCCAGTGACAGCTTTTGTACCTTTTTTTCTGAGAGTGTAATGTATAAAAAATAAACCAATAAATGCCCCATCCTTTATCATCTAGGCCTACATTTAATTAACATTAGTGTCAGATGTGCGTGGTGGAACCTTTCCAGGTTTAAGATAATTTATACTAACATATTTTTTATTTAAAAGTGTCAATTTCTTTTGTTATCTGACCTCTATTTGAAGAACTACATCATTGTATCACTTGTTTAGTTTGTTAAGAATAGTTAAAATGAACTAACAATGAACAATACTTCTACAGCATTCACAATTCTTTGTAAATGTTAATATTTAGTAATAGATTATTCTAAATGTAAATGTAAATAAAAGTCATCTTTTATTTACATTTATAACTAAAACAACTTACATGATTTTTAATATCTGTTTGTGAATATTATTTAAGTAGCCTACTTTTTTCTTGGAAAGAAAATACTTTCCATTGCAATGGATTTGCACTTTTTTTGTACAGCACGTCACCTGAGCTGCAGTCTGTACACTGAGATGATGGTAATTTTGGGTGGTCCTGTTGAGTTTGTCGAGGAGGTCCTGAATCTCGGCGATCTCTAACTCGATGATGCGCAGAGACACGGCTCCATATAGATTCCTGTCATCCTCCTTTTCTAGCACGATCACGTTTTCCTCCACCTGCTTGATGCGTTGTTGTAGACCCAGCATAAGCCTGTCTAAGTCTGTCATCTGCAGAAATTTACATTTTATTAATGACATTTTATTTAATTGACTTAAAATATTAAAACTCAATATAATGAAATGAATGAAAATATGTCATTTAAATATCTTTTTGTACCTTTTCTGACGTGATGGTCTCAATGCATTGTAAAGCACTGGTCTCTACTTTTGTTAATTCGTTCTTAGGAAAAGGAGGATCTAAATTTTTTAGATCGCACACGCATTCTTTTCCTCTCTCTGACTATGGTGACCAAATGACAGGAAAATACATTATAAAAGAATAAAAACACTTTCAAACAATACAATCACTCTACAATACTAGTACTTTGAGAAATAAGGTAAGGTATCAATAGCAATTGTAAAGTAACTTTATTTTCTTACCTGAGAGAAACTTAAATGAATAATAACCATCAAAATGAATAGATTAGACTGACTCATCTCTTGAAATGAACCTTAAAACCTCAGAATAAACACCATCGTCTGGCAGCGGAAGATTTTTAAAGACATCATTATGGTGAAATAATAAAAGAGAGAGTGTGGGTGGAGGTCATTTGTTTCAACAGAGCTTGCTTTTAACTTTCAACCTTTTCTTAATGTCTAAATTATACAGAAATGAATGAATGGTGGTAAAGATTTGATGGTGAATTTCTCAGTTTAATTCTTTGTCACTTATATATTTGATATGTGTACAAAAAATAATGAAATGTATTAAGTCTGGTGATAAATTCAAAAACAAGAGAGGATGTGTTGTCTTATCTCTCTTGACACATTTCTTGATACAATCTCACCACAATATCTTTGTGTTTTTGTGCAAGTTTGAAGTTGAACAAAAAAGGGAACCCATGTGTGCACATGTACATTCAGGTAAGGAAAGGGTCAGGTCTGCCTTGTTGGTTATTATGCTAGTTATGTTTATAACTAAACTACCTAACATGAAATAAATATGCCTATTCAAAATACACAAACGAATAATGGCCAAAATTCAGCTGTTATTATTGTTCCTTCACACTCACAGGTAACTTAAACTGAAATAACAGCGCAGCAGTGTCAGCACACAATGGGGTATTACAGATTAATAAACCAGCACTAATTTTTCACTCACATTTTATTTCAAGAATCAAAATGTGATACATAGCCAATTTAAATGTTTTTCCCTTTGAAAAAAGAACCACATGAAATATGTAAAAATCATTACATTTATTGGCAAAAAAAAAGACACAGTATAATTCAGGGAACTTCCTGAAACATGATTTCATATGTCACAATGTAGGCATCACTGTAGACATACAACAAATTATCACTGGGGTTATAATTCATATACTTGATATTAGTCTGCATCTTCTTAATGTGAATACTCAAATCGTATCGCTCTTCGTTGGTTTGGGTGTCAAAAGAGTAAAAGATCTCTTCAGTTTCTTGATCAAGGTAACGAGTAGCATAAAGCACACCGCACACCATGAAGGTGTTTGTGGCAGTCCTTTTGTGAAGAGAAGTGGACCATGTTTGGCTAATAACAGGAGGGTTACTAGTCTCAACTTTACTGATCATCACATTTCCAAAGTTGCTTGTGGTTGCGTATATAACATAGACGCCCAATTCATCTGTGGCGAAATCCATATCTGTATAGGCGTATGTGGCGGCGAGATGTGCGAAAGGAAACTTGTTGTTGAAACCTGCATCATTAGGTAAAGCAACAGTACTGACAGCACGAGTCGTCATGTTGAACTGACAGACGGAGTATGTGTTGTAACAGTTATAGTAGAGCGCATTGCCGTACATGACCATGTTTGGCCCCTGAATTGTGTTTGTTGTGGGGTTGGAGCTTGATATATATGTATCTTTTGGTCCTATACCCAATATAATAGTACTCATACTACTGTACTGGCGGATAAAGTTGCCATGTACATTACCACTTGACAGCACCACCAGCCAGTACTTGTTCTCGTCTCCTGGAGCTGGCTGTGCATCTCGACCCCAAGCACCGAAAGTGTAGGATGTTCCATACACAGTGAGGGAATAGGTTTTAGGTCCTGAAACATTGACCATGCTGCCCAGACCACAGTAATCTAAAAATAAAGCAAATATGTAAGTCTAATACATAGACGCAGGGGTGTAGCTGTGGCTACATAAGTTTATACAGCCCGGTCTCATCCCAAGGCATCATATAGGTGACACTTTTAAAATTGCGTCTACATCCGACGCACATGGCACCCTTTAGCGTCAATATGAAACGCAGATATATATGGGCCAGAAGGCGCCTCCTAGTGGTCCAACCCTAACACTACCCCAGACCTAAACCTACCCATAACCGAAGTGTGTTATATTGATGCGGATTTAGACGCAATTTCACCTATATGACGCCCTGGGATGAGAATGCGTTGGTTTATACATGCCTGGTGGAAGTGTAGGGGCTGGTGTTGTACTATTGAGCACATCTTTGCACCATTCCAGGTCCCTCTTAACCCGCTGGTTCTCTCGCTGTTTCTCCATCACCTGTGCGTGGTCAAACCTCTCCAGCTCCGCCATCGTTTCCTCCATATCCTGAAGCTGTAGGAATGAAGGATTAAATAAGAATAAGAAAAATGCACATAATTCACAAAATGCCCCAGCGAAATAGTATTGAGGACTTGTGGAACTGAAAGTAAAAAAAAAGCAAATAATAAGTACAGTAGATTACTTAAAATACTATTTAAGATGTATTTGATGAATTATATTTGGACATAAATTTGTACACAATGCAAAACACTGCAGAAAAGAATTTTAATTTAAATGGAATTGATTTACATTTACATATGATCATGTTCTGCGATTATCAATTTTGTTATCAAATTATCAAATTATCAATTTTGATTAGGAATTAACTTAACACTTGGAAATAAACACATTGCATAAAATTATTATTTGAAAGTGCTGTGGTGTAGAGACATTCACCTCTGTTGCGGTCTGTCCACTGAGCAGCTGGTAATTGTTGGTGGTCCTGTTGAGTTTATCCATAAGGTCTTGAATCTCCGCTAACTCTAATTCAATAATGTGTAGAGACACGGCTGCATACAGATTTCCATTGTCTTCTTTTTCCAGCATGGACACATTTTCCAGAAGCTGCGAGATACGATGTTGTAGACCCAACACAAGCCTGTCAATCTCTGTCATCTGCACACATTTGAAGAGAAAACAATTTTGCTTTAATAACAGATTGCATAGAATTATATGGCAAACTTTAAAATCCGTTTTTAACCTACATGGCTGATTTGCAATCATAAAAGTCACAATAACAGTATGTTTTGATATTTTTATACCTTTTCTGATGTGATGTTCCTTGTGCATTTTAAAGCAGTGATCTCTACATTTTTGAGTTTATTCTCAGGAAAAGCAGCCTCAGAACTTTGCAGCTCACACACACAGTCCTTCCCTCTCGTTGACTGTGGAGACAGAATAACAGGGTTATACTGTAACATAATTCATTCCAACATTCAAGCAAAATTACACCTTAAAAATTATATATAACTAAATTTGAAAAACATTTTTTTTTTCGAAAATAGTGTCAGAAACCATGTAAAAATTATAATGTTAGTAAAAGGACAGTTCAAATTTTACCTGTGACAAAATTAGAGGGATGACGACCATCAAAATGAACATGTTGGACTGACTCATGTTTGAGTTGGGAATGATTAGGATCCTCTAGCCTTGAGAATAAAAAGACAGAAGCAGAAATTTAATGCCAAAAACCCAGGATTGGTCAGTAAGTCACCAGTGCTGACATGAGAAAAATATGAAATAAGGAAGTTCATCACCTGATCCTGCAAATATTTTGAGATTGCAAAAGGGTTTGCTTTATAATATATATATATATATATATATATATATATATATATATTATTTGCACTTTATATATATATATGTATATATATATATATATACATATATATATATATTTAAACTGAGCTTTGAAATAGCTTTTTTCTTGTGTTAATTGCTTGATTTAGGAACATAAGAATTAAAGGAGTAGTTCGTAAAAAAACATTTTGCTGATAATTTACTCACCCCCATGTCATCCAAGATATCCATGTCATTCTTTCTTCAGTCGAAAAGAAATGAAGGTTTTTGTTGAAAACATTCCAGGATTTTTCTCCATATAATGGACTTCAATAGGAACCAAACGGTTCAAACTGCACTGTTCAAAGGGCTTTAAATGATTTCAGACGATGAATAAGGGTCTTATCAAGTGAAACCATCGCTCAATTAAAAAAAAAAAGTTGAAGTTTTATAATCTCAAATGCTCGCCTTGATCTGCCTGTGATGTGCGTTCGTGAATCATCAAAATTAATGAATTTCTTCCTGAGTCAACTCGTTCATTTCGTTCGTTGAATGAACCAAATGACACGAAAAAAGATTTGTTCATTTCCTTTTGATAAACGAGTTCGAAGCATTTGAGCTTATAAAACTTAAACATTTTATTTTTTTAAATGAGTGATGGTTTCGCTTGATAAGACCCTTATTCATTGTCTGAAATAGTTTAAAAAGCCCTTTGAACAGTTTGCACTGAAACTGTCTTTTGGACCTTGAACCGTTTGGTATACAAATACAAAAAATGACTCATAATATCAACAACAATACTGACTGTGGGCAGAATACTAGATTTTTTGCTGGCATTTTTCTTAAAATCTTCATAATTTAAAATGCGTGTATTTACAATTTTTGTAATACTGTGCTGGCATAAGAAAACTAAGAGATTGTGTTTCCGTCATTTCAATATCATGCAGTACTGAAACCAGTTTTCAGCCTTCATCATATAATAAAATTGCAGATCTTCGCATAAAATTTATGATGAACTAGAGTTAAAAGATTTTAGGGGGGAACTTGTGGTAGAATTTTCCCATATTTCTCAACTAAATTTCTTCCTAAATTTCTTAAATGAGCCATGTGCAATTTTCACATCCTCTTCAGCAGACCCCCAAAACTGCATAGCATAACTAAACTTGCACCATAGTGTTTTTGTGGTGGTTTAAAGCAGATCTTTAGTCTTTCAGCCAATTCAGTCAACATGTTCACCTACCTGCTGCTCCTCACAGTCATTGTAAGTTTTCTCTTTGTGTCTTGAATTAGCTCACAGGTTTCTACAATTCTTGCATCTCTGAAAAATTAAAAAATATGAGAGAACGTGTGTATGTATGACATCTGATTGCATTTGTACAATAGGCGACTGTCGAGGCTCAGAGAGTTCCAGGTCAACAGAAGAACGATTCATGTTTGTGTAAAATAAACAGCGCTATCTGGACTTTTCCCGCTGTACGGTTTATGGAAGTCACAAAACTGATCCAGACCTGTGAGGAGAACCTGAATGAATTTGAGGAAAAGGTAAGCTATCAGTTAAGCTTCTTTATAACAAAATGGACACTGCAATGATTAGATGTTTTCATTACAATTGAGAAGAATCTTGAACTTAGGCAATATCAATGACCTATCTGAGGTGACTTTCAGATGAGTAACACAGATGCAGAACTGCCGTTAATGAGAGACACTCTTCAGAACATCACAGACCGTCTGAAAGCGTTCAATTACCTTCACACAAGTGGACTGTACAACGCTCTAACCCTGCGACAGCTGGACCAAGAACTGGAGAAAATCCATCAATCTGTGAATGAATCACACTTGCAGAAGCCCACCAAGGAGACACATAACTTGTTAAGTGAGGTATACATTGCAACATATGAATATACATATTTAAACTCTTTTCTCTTGTGATCAGTGTTTCAAATCAAACTCAAATCAAAGGTGATGACAGAACTATTTAAATAATATACATAATAGTGAATGAGACAACAGTTTAATGATACCATCTGTGATGTTCTCAGTTAAATAAGGCAAAAAATGATGTCCGGAGGATGTACAAAGATGATTTCTTCAACCTGGAGACCATGAAGAAGAGGTTACGTGACCTCAACAACCGAGCACAAACGTGCAAGACCATACTAAACAATTTCAGAAGTAAGTTGCTATTTGCTATTTTCTGAAGGACCTTTTTCGACCTGACTTACTTAGGTCCAAAAAGGTTTTACAAACTAAGAAAAAGCTAACTGTGATGCTACAATTACTTGCAGGCGCTTGTCATCAGCGTATCATGACCAAAATAAGTTCTCCAAGTGTCACCAAGCTCAATTCCATCAGCAAATCTTATATTTCTGGTGCTTGGGGTCGTGATGCCCTACTAACCAATCAAAAACGTTATTGGGAACACTGTCTGGTGAGTGGAAACAAGCATGGGAACACAATCAGGATGTACAAGTCGTACGAAGATTTCATGGCCAGCAAGAATTACAAAGATGAACAGATAGCACCATCCCACAGTGACAAAAATGCTGTTCAGGGCTCTGGCACTATACTGTATGACAATACTGTATTTTACCAATGCTATAGCACCGCTGAGATCTGTAGCTTCAACATCACAACACGAGCAACCAAGCGTGTAAAACTGGATGGTGCCGGAATCGCCAACAAGTTCCCTTTCTGCTACTACAGCTGCCGTGACTGGACAGACATCGACCTGGAGGCTGACCGAGACGCCGTGTGGGTGATATACGCCACCGAGGAGAACCACGGCAACATTGTTGTGAGTCGCTTAGACCCGCTGGAGCTCAACATCACACACACCTGGAAGACACATCTCTTTAAGAGGTCCGTCACCAGCACGTTCATGGTGTGCGGGGTCCTGTACGCTACACGCTATGTTAGTACTTACCAAGAAGAGGTGTTTTATGCCTTTGATACAACCACTGGCCGAGAGATAAACACTCTTTCTTTGCCTTTTGAGAAGGTTTCTGCTGGAATAGCCAATCTAAACTACAACCCTGTTGATGGGAAACTCTACTTGTACAATGATGCCTATCTTTTATCATATGATACCTTCTTCTGAAGGCATTTCAAATGGAATCACCCAATAAAAAGTTGTGTTTTAAATTCAAAACTGGTCTTTTTTATTTTTTTAAAGCGGGTATATTGATGGTCCAGAGACTTCTACTTCTGGCAACCAACAAGAGCAACTCTTAAACACGACATTCAAAAACGATACAAGACAGAAGTACAAATAAGCATACAATAAGTTACACCATTTATAATGAATAGAATGCAAATTATATCACCCTCAGACATGCCTAAAAATCTAATGAATATATTTGAATTATATTTGAATGTATTCATTTGACTGTAGAAAGTATCAGTTTCATCAGCAGCCTCCAGCCCCCTCTGGTGTTTGTATTAAAGGTTCTTCAGATTGTTCTCTTTCTTGCTCTCCTGTTCCTGTTGTCTGTTGATGATCATCTGGAAATTAGACAATCCAGTATGTCATTCCTTACAACTCAACTTTAGCCAAGAGACGAAAAGCATTAACTATTGGATCAGCATTAATTATTGGATGAGCCATGTTCAAATCTGTTGTAAAATAGCTAATGGCTGACACTTGTGACCCCACTGGCCCACATCATTTGTTGCTTTTCATAAACAACATCCAGTTAAGATAAAGTATTTAATGGAAAACTTGTGGTTATAATTTATTTATTGAAAACTGGTATACTCCACTTCATGTAATGCTTAAAATGTCTTATTTCTTGACTGAAGCAGATTCACACTTGTTGAGGACTCATTATCGTGCCTCTCTTCGCTTCCTTTTTATTGATTTTATGGGTTTTTCACTGTTGAGCCAGTAGAGCTTTATGACTCATTATAACTCAGTCAGCATAGTCCATGAGTCACAGACTAGAAGACAAATGTCAAAAGTCAGTCTGAAGTTGTTATTGGTCAGTCATTAGTCAATTTGACAGGCAGGGATCTTGTGGCAAACCATTATATTATATTTATTATTTCTAGATGAAAAACAAAAAACACACACACCTGAGTCTGAGTCATTGCTGTCCAACAGTGTTTGCACACTCTTCACCCTGTACATCAAGAACCTGTTTTCTAAAGAAAATGTACACAAGAGTAAAATTATACATTCATTATTTTGAATCATGTATCTTGGATGATAAAGAATGGGTAGGTCTAGTATCTAAGAAAAATATTTTTCAGTAAATCCCTAAGTTACTTATGCATATTGACAGTGTTTTATTCTTCTTCTGTATATCAGTTTAATATTTTAATTTTTATCAGCCAATTTTTTTTGTAATTTATCAGTATTGGCTCATTAATTTAGAATATAAATGTCCCTACACTTTAAAAAAAATTATGTTGTTTTTAAATTAAAATAAGCAATTAAAAAAAATGTAGTTATACAAAATTAGTAATAAAATTAAAATTAGTTAAAATTAAAGTCAGTTTAATGTAATTTAAGTTTAAATGACTAGTACTTAAATTTAAGGCAGCAACTTTTTTTATAGTGTAAATCTATTCTTAACTCCCTCATATTAAATTGGGAGATAATAACAATAAAAACTAAATTATCAACAAGATATATTATTATACATTAAGTATGTAAATAAATATAAGGTCCAATGCTAATTTATCAAAATCATATCAATAGCTGAACAAACATATATATAGTAAATTATAATTGAACTCCATAATTGAAACAATTTAGTGCAAATAAAATACAACAATAAAGATAAAAGTAGAAAAGAGAAATAAAATAATAAGATAGTAAATATAATAAAAAGAATACTATAAAAATGAACAAAATAAGCATTATGATTAGAAAAGAAATAGAAAATGTATAGAAGATATATGAAAAGAACAAAATGTAATACAAATAGAGTGAAAAACTGATTAATTTTAGAAAAACGTAATAGGGAAATGGAAAGGATAATGTTAGAGAAATAGATGAAAATTCTGCCCAATATTTAATACCAAAATGCTCTTGAGACTTGACTTGTGAACACACCTGGTAGGTGCTGCTTTAACCTTCATCATTTTGCTTATAGTGTAAGGGGAAGACAAACTGTACTGCAAACCTACCTACATCACGCCTCTCTCGTTTTTCCTGCTCTAGCTTGCAGTTGAGACGTTCCACTTCCTCACGTTGTAGATCTAGCTGAAAAACCACTCAACATAGAAGTGTACGCGCACACACACACACACACACATGAGGAACTTGACATAGAAACACAGAGTATATGTGATTATAATGAATTGACATCTGTCAGTAAGTAAGAGGACCACCAAATATTGCACGAAATGTAATATCACCTGTTCGCGTAAGGTCTTGACCTCTCTGAGTAGCCTGGTGACACACACCACCTGTTGCTGATATGCACAGAGAGCCTGTGACCTTCTAAGAAACAGAAAAACAATCAGATGTTGTTTAATACATTTTAGGTTATTATTAGTGGTGCTTGCTAAGATTATTGCTCATATTTGGGTTAGAACCATTGCAACCACTAAGAACAGAAGATTAACTCACGCCATACTCATGTCCATCTTCAAATCTTGTAAACTCAGAGCGAAATCAGGATTTCTCATCTCTAGGTCTAAAGTGAAATGTGTTGAATGAAAAAATGAAGTTATAATTGTGTATTTGTGTGTGTGTTCGTGTGTGTGTGTGCCTCACCTGTAGTAAAGGGTGGCAGGTAGCTCATAAGAATACTGTCGGTCCATTCATCGTTCAGCTCTCTGTGAAGTATCCCAAAACAACTTTCAGAGTTGTATTAAATCAAATTTTGAAGTTTTTTTTTATGTAATTGCTTAATAAACCCAGCTGAATTATGTTTGATTGTAGTATCAGTGTTATTTCATTATTTAAATACAATTATAGTATTTATTGAGAGTTTGAATTACAATGTATTTTTTATTTTTTATACACATTACTTTTTTTTATTTTTTTTTTTTTATACACATGACTGCTGAAAATCAGTTTTATACTGAGTCAGGCCCGATTGCTCTTAATCTTTACCTGTTTAAATAAATAAATAAATAAATATATTTTCAGGAATCGTTTTAGTTTTAGGACTTTTGTTATGTGCTTTTATCATGTTTTATTCCTTAGAATACAGGGTGCATAAGTCAGGACACCCCTATGTTAAATTCTCATAGAGTCAGGCAGATTTTTATTTTTAGAGGCCAGTTATTTCATGGATCCAGGATAATATGCATCCTGATAAAGTTCCCTTGGTCTTTGGAATTAAAATAGACCTACATCATCACACACCCTTCACCTAGAGATTGCCTTTTTTCAATATGGTATTAAGAGCTTGTAAATATGATTGCCATTTTGAGAAAGTCATGTGTATGCAAAATGAATTAAAAGGGTGGTCTGTGGGGGTGCTGTGAGGCAATGTGATTTTTGTACCTAGACATTTATTGTGTGATTTTTAAATTCCAGAATCTGTGTGATAGCACAACATGCAGTGTGGGATGGCATTATCAGTACTTGAATTTGTCATTGAGGAGGAGGTCGTCTGTGAACTCGTGACTTTTGAAGAAATCAATTGCACCCATGTCAACGTGAGCAACAAGTGCATCATATTGCCCTACAATAGACTGAGTCTTCAGAAGCTGAAACAAAGTCCACAAAATAAACAGAATAATTAAAACGGTCAAACTGAAGTCATTACAAAAAAAACTAAATAGCAGTAATACATGCAAACAGCAGAGGGCAGTGTCTAGGCAAATTACAAACCTCTAGGCCATATTTATTAATTTGTACTCAATAATAATGACACAGTAGTACTGATATACACTGTTATTCACAACTATCAAAGCAGAACATGTACAAGTGGGTTGACAAGGTCCAAACAGAAGCAATTTGTGCATGTGTTTACCTCTATGATGTAGCTGCCAATCCCAAGGTACCGGTAGTGTTTCCTAACAGCCAAAAGAGAAAGCTGAAGCACAGTGTCTCCTGTAGATCTTCAATTTCACAGACAAAAACAGAAGTCAGTATCTTCATTAGATTAGCATATTGCTTGATTTTCTGAGAAACATTGTTTTTAACCGTCACATCGTGTCTCAACATTCTAGTTAGGGTGTGTGTAAATGGCAGACACTTGAGGTTAAACTAAACCACAGGCCATGTGGAAGCCATTGGCACAAATACAGAGTACAGAAGAGGGAAAGGAGCGAGAGAGGAAGCCATAGTCTCTCATTGACTGGTAATAACACCCCACAGTCAGCAGGGCAGGGCAAGGTTTCTTTACTCTTCAGCCCCTCTGGACTGGAAATAGAATCAGGGTGGAACAACACCATTCAGTGGGATCTCATAATGACAAGGCTTCATTTTCAGGTTTTGATATAAATAAAGTCTTTTTTTTTTTTAGAAATCCTGGATGGTATCCACTCATAAAGAGCTGAAATGCTGACTGAGGCTATATGAAGGAGAGTCAGGAGCTTGTTCTTGCAGCTGAACAGTCTTTGATTTAGACAAGGTGGAATAGGATTTTGCACAAATGTTTTATTACCTTTTAATTCAGACAAAATTGAAAGTTTGTAAATCACTCAACTGTAATAAAAAGTTTGTGAATGGGAGTAGGGTTTAAGGGGTTGTCATACATTTTAAACATGCATATCGTCACACCTGAGAGTTAAATTGGGAACATCTATTTATATATATATATATATATATATATATATATACATTGCATCCCTAGTTTGCATGTGTGTAAAGTTTAGTGTGAACATTCCTTGTAGAATGCAACAAACAAGAGGTTTAGCTGAACTTTGATCTACATTTTGTGTAATATCCATATTTTGTCTGTGAAACTTCCTCTTTATTGCAAAAAAATGACTATAAAATGCAATTGACAAAGCTTTACTGCATTGTCAGATGATGTTATAAGATACTAACAGAAGAAAAGTATCTTGCTTTAAACCATTAGTGTTTTATTTCACAAAATAGTATTATATGGCTCTTTCACTGATGTTTGATTGAATCAGGAACTGTGATTGTACTTTGCTTACAGTAGTTTGACTTCATAGCAAGCAGCAGCCACGATCAGAGATTCAACTCCTACTGCGGATGGCGGGATCTTTCCGTCTTTTCCTTGCATTGCTCGTCTTTCTTTCCTTGCCCTCGCTCCGTCCACAAACTCCTGTAGGCCTTCACAGAATCGCTCCCAAGACCATCTACAGGGAAACAGAGAACAGGCTCGTACAAACTAAAAATGTTCTGGATTCTGGGCTGGTCTGAACCTCCATTTCCCACATGAACACCATAGCGATATACTGTACTGTATGTCTACAGCATGTGTGGTAAGGTCATGTATGGTAATGTAAGGGATAGTCACACACCCTTACATTAAGTATTACTAAAATTAACTTTTTATTCCTTTTGTGAATCCGGTTAGCAATTTTGTACAAAACCAATTTTTTTTCACCATCAACCATATGCTGTCACACTATGCGCTAACATTGTCCCAGTAAGAGACCATAATAGGATACAATTGTCACTGAAACTTTGTTACACAGTTGCGCTGGCATAGAAACTAACCGGCATACATGCATGGTGGCATTTGTCATTGTTATTGACCATAATAATGTCACGATGACCTGTTAAATGTAGAGAAATGTCATAAATAAACATTCAGTTCACTCCTTTCCAAATCTACACCTGTAGGAGGAGGGATAGAGCTAATAAGGAACACTTGGCACACTGTTTGCCAGAGAGGATCTGGGGAAAAGTCGTTGTAATTCCATTATTTTTAACAGAATCAGCAAACGATTTGTAGAAAATCATGTCATATTCTCTCTCATTAAATTCTCAATCAGAATGATTAGTCTGTTTCTCACAAAACACATATAATATGGCTTCTGAACACTTGGAACTTTTGTGGTGTTTATTAAACTGTTTTGGAGTTTGACAGCACAAATTACCATTAACTTTTGTTGTACAATCATTATTGGCATTTGTGTTTCCGTGAACAAACTTTAACAACCATGGGACATTTTCTGTTTCACACATGGTTCTTCATAGTGAAAATGGTGCTTCAGAAGATTATTAAATTGTTCTTTACACTAAGAAAATAATAGTTATTTTCATCGGGTCATCGGATGCCCATTTTCCACAAGTTGGTATGATCTGACCAATCACCGCCGATTAGCGTCACACAAAGGAGTGGTTTGGAAAAATGAGTCGTTGTACGAATCATTTGGGAGTCGGTGAGCAAATCAGTTAAAAATAAATGCATATTATAAGACAAATAAAGTGTTTTTTTTATCCTTGCATGCATGTTAAACTGTTTTTGGGAACTCCTAAAACAAAAATAGGAACATTTCAAATGCTATGATAGGGGCTCTTTAACTGACTAGAGGCCCATAGAGAAGGAAGTGAATAGTTGAAATAAAGTCGTTATTTTTGTTTGTTTTTGTGCACAAAAAGTGTTCTCGTCGCTTGATAAAGTTAAGATTGAGCCTCTGAAGTCACTTGGACTATTTTAACGATGTCTTTAATAACTTTTCGAGGCCAGCAAGTTTCAATCCCTCATGGACTAGTATGCAGGAGTGATGCAGCTCTCAGATTTCATCAAAAATATCTTAATTTGTGTCCCGAAGATGAACGAAGGTCTTGCGGGGTTGGAACAATGAGGGTGAGTAAATAAATACTGACAGAATTTTCATTTTTGGGTGAACTAACCCTTTAAGAACTGTTTACTGAAAGGTCTTCAATGGCTTTGCTGCTAAAACCTCTTTTGGGAACCTTTATTTTTTAAGAATTTATGTAAAAGAGCAGCTCGGAACATTGTGTGTTTCACAGAATAAAGAAAGTGGCTTGAAGCAATATGAGGGTGAGTAAATGCTGACAAAGGTTTCATTTTTGAAAGCGAATTCGGCCAAAAAAAGGTCAATCGTCCATTGTCAATTGTATACCACTGCCCACATCAAGCCATTTTCTGTTGGCCAATGCTGGGAAACCATTAGCGAAATCTGTTTGGGGAAATCTATCAACCTCACACGAAATTCCTAATCGTGTGGATTCCTATTCAAAAGATTGGATTTCGCCCTTGAATATTTTGCAGAACAACGGCAAATGTGACCGCAACTTTAGCCTTAATTTTTAGGAAAGTTCAACCTGTCACTTGTCTCCACTTCTAACGTCTCGTCTGAACTCTCCTCAGAGTCGCTGTATAGCTCAGTGAGCAGCTTGTGTTTGGATTCAGCTCTGTCTGTTGTTTTACAGGATACTGGGCTCAAATGTGTCTCCTTGTTTCTGGAAGCCCTGTCCCTATAGTACTCTAAAGCATCTGCAAAGAGAAATCAGCATAAATTAGCCTTAGGCCAACACTCATTCTATAAAAGAATTATGCTCGCTAACATAATTTACGCTCTATTACCCGACCAAGGTGAATTACATACCTACATGGTCCTGTGATAAAATAATAGTACGTATCCCTGGGCAGTGCACAGTTTTGTGGACGTCTATGGGGCCGACATCAGGCAAGGATGTGTCCAACAGAGCCACCACAGCCCGAAGAACATCCTCGTTCCTGATCTGCAAGATCAAAACACAAACATATGCATGTATATGTCAACACAGCACAAAAAAATCAAAACATTGGCCTCGGGTTATGTAGAAAAGAGCAGTGGACTCAAGATGTCATGCGGCCAGCAATTCAGTGCAAAAGAACGACTGCAGCATGACGCCCACCCCCCACACCAGTGTTTGGAAAGCTCTAGCTGTGCAGCAGTGGGGAAAAATCCATTCAATTAAGACTGGGAGTTCCTGGACAACACGATGGGAGGCTGAAACGTGACCTATATTCCTGATCGCACTTGCTCTATAATTTCATATTTTGTGGAGTAAGAGCTATAAAAGCCCAGATAATATTTCAAAAACAAGGAGGGAGTTTGTATGTGAAAGGAAGTGGAATACAGCACTCAATAATCAATAAACATCAATAAAGGGAAAGCAAGCAAGATAATAAAAGAGGCTAAGTGGGATTGAAATGAATTAGTGTGTGGGTGGGTGTAAGTGCATGGGTGTGTATGAGGCAATTTTTCATATTTATGTTGTTTCAATTCCAAGTGAGCTGCCTACATAAGAAACATTTTAAGGCACTCTTGACACAAAGACTCTTCCAAAAAGGCTCATATGCAACTTAATTATGATGCCTACTAAGATGCCTTCTTTTGACAAAATTCTATTTTATATATCCTTTGTGGAAAAGTCAGTCCCACGGAGTATTGCAACAATTGACAAAATTAAGTTCTAAAAAATGTAAGCAAGTAAAAGTAAGTAGTTTGTTTTTTCGAGCAGCAAGGCAGCTCACTAGGTTTTAGAAAAAAAGATTTAGGGTACACTATGTGTACACGACAACTTCTAGTGTTTGGACTTCTTGTGTGATATCTATCTAGTTCTTTAGTAAGAATGTTAATCTAAAATAAGAGAGAAGGGCCAACCATAGGCAGAATTTCAGGAGCATCTCTGGTTTGGAAGAGTTGGTAGAAGTTGATAATGATGGGATGAGCGCTTAAATCACTATTGAAGCAAACATTGTGGAGACGGACCACACATCCCTCCATCGCTCACCGCTGACCAGCTAAAAAGAGAGGACACAGCTTTATGAACATGATGAAACTTTATAACACTTTCCCCTGCTATAAGGGAGACTGGGGCTTGTTGTCCCTGGTTGAAACATATTCTCAGGACAACAGAATTAAATTAATGTCTGCCTTCTGTACAGTAATTTTGTTACATCCTTTTAGCCAAAACAATATTTTAAAATGTTTAGTAGTAGGCCTATTTAAAAATGTTAGAAGGCCTTAATTTTTATGTTTGTGTTTTTTTTTTTTTTTTAGGAACAGCTTAATAATTTTGTTGAATGTTTACTTTTTAATTTAAAATAAACTATAAAACCTTTAAAAACAGATATGTTGTGGAAAATTGGCTCTTTTTTAGTTTGGAGACTATTTTACATTAAACAATTGAACTATAGGCTTACTTGTACTTAACGTTAAATCTTCAGTAAACAGGTTCCCATTTTTTGGGACACCGTAACTTACCCCCAGCTATTGAGTAATGTTGTCACAAAACGAACTGTATTTTTTTCAGGCTAAGTTAATAACGATAGAAATATTCGATAACTTTTTGTATTCAAGACGTCGAGTTAAGTAACTAGCAGACGTTACTCTGCTAATGCAGACGTTGAAAACAGAACAATAACAACTACGTTAACGTTAACCCATAACCCTTTGTTTATTTATGTTTAACGGTGTGTAACACCTATTTACATGTAAATCTGTAAATATTATTAAGTACCTCTATTTATTTAGTAATGTTAATTACTAAATACCTATAATGTCTGCTTCAGAAACGTTGATATTTTAGCTACCTTCCTTCGCAAACTTGGCTGCGTTGCGCTTGTGCTGTAGAGTCTGGAGTCTGGACAGCGAGCGTCACTATAGCAACGGTGGAGCTGGAAATCAATCGCAGTGTCTCATGGGATTTGGAGTCCCCAATTACGAACACACAATGACCACGGCCAGTGGTGGAGGAAGTACTGAATCTCAGTACTTAAGTAAAAGTACAAATACCCAGATAAATATTTACTTTAGTAAAAGTAGAAGTAACACAATGACAACCATACTTAAGTAAAAAGTAAAAAGTACTTTATTTTAAATGTACTTTAAGTATTAAAAGTAAAAGTACTTGCATAACAATTTATTATCTTAATGTCTATTTTCTAATGATTAATAAAACATTTAATTCTAACTCATTCAACCTAATAGCCTACTCCTATAATGATGTTCAATAATGATGGAAAAAAAATGTCACCATTTCTGAAACAAGCTTGCAATTAGGCAATATCATGCTTATCCTTACTATATGTTAATAACTATGTTTGGCAGTAAACGCGATTCATTTATGGTGTAATATTGAACCTCTTGGCTTGCCATAATCCTAACCAAACCAAACATATATTACACACGGTGTGTTTCCTATGCACGTAAAAACAAATTTTCGCGTATGAGTTGCATGATAAACACACTGCGTGTTAGACGCATTTAGTGTGACCGTGTTGATATACTGTATCTATGGCAACCAAACGTCACTGGTGAGACAAACGTGCAACGAACGGACGGTCAGATTACGTTTTAGCAGGGGAAAAACTGATCAGAAAATGTAACGAAAATGTAACAGAAGTTGTAGAAATGTAGTGGAGTAGAAAGTATAATAATTGCTGCAAAATGTAACGAAGTAAAAGTAAAAAGTAGGCACTATTTATTGTACTTAAGTAAAGTAAAGATACGTGAAAAATGTACTTAAGTAAAGTAACGAAGTATTTGTACTTCGTTACATTCCACCACTGACCACGGCACGTATAGACCTTATTCAGAGAGAGCAGCGGTCTCTGAGGCTGTGAGGGATAGACTTACCGTGTTTCCAGTGGCATCCGCTGTAAAAAGCTGAATAAAGCTCCTAGATTACTTACAATTTTCCACAGCTTACATTGTCAGGAGTTTTTTGTCAGCTGAAATTTCTTGGAAAGATATTTTTTCCAGTGTTTCATAAGCAGAACAATCCGATTCCGAAAACACATTAACAGTACAGCCCATTGATGCATGACTATCCCTCACAGCCTCGCTTTCATTAGGGCCCAAGCCCTGAAAGGGCGAAGGCCCTATTGTTTTCCTTCCGATTATTTTTTTTTTTTTCTTTTATTTTTCTAACGACTATTCGGGCACTTTTGGGGCCCTTAACATGCTCAAAAACTCTTGAAACTTTGCACACGGGTCAGAACCCGCGGCCATCAGGGCCGGGCTGAAGATGGTACCCGGGCGTGGCAGGGGGGCTCGACAGCGCCCCCTGGAACGGGCTCCGAACACTTGGTCCATAACTCAAACACGCTTGTATATAATATTATGAAACCCGGTACACATGTCGATCTCATTGTTTCATATATACTTCGCACTTTTACTTTTTACCCCAGCCCAACAGGAAGTCGGCTATTTAGGGTTGTTCGTAAAACACTCGCAATGGAATTTTAAATACTCCTCCTAGAGCTCTGATCCAAATTCGACGAAATTTCGGTCAGCGTGAAGTCAAGGCATTGAAGATGAAAGTTTGCGAGGGGATTTTTGATATCTCGAACGGTTTGGCCGTGGCGAGGAAACGATATTATGGCGAGAAACGTGAAACAGAAAGTGTGTCATAACTTCAGCATACATCAACCGATCTTGATGAAACTTCAGCAGTGTGTTCGCTGTAAGAGGACGATCACATGGATGTGACTATTGTGACTCAAAGTTATAGCGCCACCAACTGGCAGCAGGAAGTGTGTCATTTTCAAAATGTTTTGAAATCACCCTCTAATTTTTAGTCGATTTGCTTCAAACTTAATCGGTATACTGCAAATACACAGCAGATGAAGACCTGTGAATGGATTCTTGATATCTTTAAAACTGTAGCCGTGGCAACGCATCAAACTTAACCATTCTTTTAGGATGCTTTTGAGACCCTTAGCATGCTTTAAATTGCATGAAACTCGACAGACACATCACATTTATTAGCCAGTAGACATGTGCAAAGTTTCAGAAACGGGCGTGGTGAGGGCTCAGTAGCGCCACCTTTTGACAAAAGTGGGGTTGTTAGTTTTATCTACAGTTACAAAAATCGGTATGTATATTGTACTCCTCGAGCCGGACAACTTTCTAATTGACACTCATTAGCTAGGACCCACAGAAAGTCAGATATGTTTGTTTGAATGTAGAGAAAATCTCAGAATTTTGCCAGTCTCTCAGTGTCCCTCTGTGTGAGTGAGAGGAGGGGCGCCTGTCAGGTTAATTTTAACCCTTTATTTGCTGTGTGCGACTTCTCTGGCATTTTCGGGGGCCTTAACATCCTCGAAAACTCTTGAAACTTTGCACACGGGTCAGAACCCATGGCCATCAGGGCCGGGCTGAAGCTGGTAACCGGGCGTGGCAGGGCGGCTCGACAGCGCCCCCTTGACTGGGATTCGAACATTTGTCCATAAATCAAACACACTTGCATGAATTAATATGAAACTCGGTACAATTATAGATCACATCAGGCCAAACAACTTTCGTGCTCTAAGTTTTATGACAGTTCAAATGGAAGTTATTTATGAATTATGAATTATGGGTTGTTTGAATAATTGTCCTAGGAGAAATACATCAAATTACAACGCATGTGTTTACCAATCACAACCAAACTCGGTGTGCATGAAGTCAAGACATTGAGGATGCTCAATTCCGGACGGATTTTTGATATCTCGAACGGTCTGGCCGTGGCGAGGAAATGAATTTTATGACTAAAAAAGGACACATAAAGTGTGTTATAACTTTGCTCAATTTACCTACAGTTACAAAACTTACCACGTATATTGTTCTCGTCAAGCCGATCAACTTTCCAATTTAAAGTCATTCGCTCTGAGCAACAGAAAGTCAGATATTGTAGTTTGAATGGATTTATTTCCCCTGCGATTCTCTCTCTTTCTCTCTCTCTCTCTCTCTCTCTCTCTCTGTGTGTGTGTGTGTGTGGGTGTGGGTGTGGGTGTCTGTGTGGGGAGGGGAGGGCTGTTGTCTGTGTTTATGTGTGTGTGTGTGTGGCTGGCTGCGATTTTTCCTACAAGTCCTTGTCTCTAAGTCCTTGTCTTTTTGCATAACAATTTCGCATAACAATATTTTTAAATGACAAAATAGGCATATAACCCCCATCTTTTAAATGTATAGTTTGCTTTAAATAAAAGTAAGATTGTATTTGTAATTGAAGTTGAATGAATTTAAAATTCATGTGCTATATTTCAATATATTTGTTTTCCTTAAGATTGTAAAACACTAACTTCATTCTTATCTGAATTACAAATATTTGTTTCTGTATAAAATAATACTCTGACTAAAAACACATTTGATGTTTGTTTTTTTTTTTGTTTTTTTATTTACATGTATTTGTGTGTGTGTGTGTGTGTGTGTGTGTATAAAGTGCAGGGTTTTTTTTAGATAAAGTAGAATTTCTATAACTATGTGTTGAACTAATAAATCACTCTTGTGTGTGTTAAACACAATCTACTTAATACAGACAACTTCATTATAAAGATAAATAACAAATCCAAAAAATATATGATTATAATCTATGACAAAAAAGCCATTACAAACTATATTAATCGAAAATACACATTGCTCTTTGTATTGTTGTAAAATATTCATGAAAAACAAGATAACAAAAATCAAAAAGATAAATTATTTTAGATATAGCCATGTTTTAAATGTATAGCAGAGATGTTAATTGAGGCAGCAACATACAAACTTTCTAGAACAACATGGACCTGGATAGCTGGTTTTTATGGAGGACAGTGAAGAGGAAGAGGGTGCAAATCAAACAGCTCATTCTCAGACTACACAGCAAACAGCTTAAGTTTTTAGTGCTTTGTTTGAGGTTTTTAGTGCTCTGTCCTATCTATTATCAACATATAATAGATGGAACAGAACAAGAAAGGCAATTAATAATCTGTCATTGCGTCACTGCATTATGATATGAAAGGCTCAGTACAGTGTGGCACAAAACGCTTATGCGCATCCCGAGTGGAAAATGATGCGCTTAAAGCCACATGGAGTTACAGCGCACAGCGCATCGAGTCCGCATTGATACAAGCTCTACAATACACTTCTTTTTGATAGTCAAAGCGGGGGTTACGTTTTTACACGTCGTACAGAATAACCCTAAAGGCACCAAGGTGGCGGTGCCACCGGCTTCATATTAAATATAAATATAGCTGTGAGCAGCGATAAAGGGCCAAAGCCGGCGGTACCACCATCCCAGTGCCTTTGGGTAACTAAAGGCATCGGGGTTGCGGTGCCACCGGCTTGGGCCCGCAATCGCTGCTCGCAGCTATATTTCTCATTGAAAATCAAAGATGGCGCTGCCAGCTTATGACGGTTTCTTTTGCACTTGGTGGTTGAATAGTTCACACAAAATAAAAGAGTCATAATTTACACATCATCAAAGCCAGAATTACTTTATTTATTGAACACAAAAGGGGTGTTAGGCCTAATGACAGCCTTAGGCACCACTTTTTGTAGGTTATAAAACAACAACAACAACAACTTGGAGAACTGTCAACTCGGAGAACTGTCAATCCTGGGCATTGTGTGGTTCAGGCCATAAGGTAAACTGGCCTAATAGCCTAGGCCTACTTGCTACACCAAAATAGTCTACTACGTGTTTTTGACATATTGATTTTCATTTTCATTACAATTGTTTTTTCTTCTGGTAACAGCAATGCAACATTTATTGTCATTGTGGTTTTACTAAAAATTACATTTTCAAGGCCCATTCACATCAAGAACCGAAGAACGACAAGTTGACAACTATACAGGCCTTTAAACGTGTAATTTCTAGTTAAACCACAATT